CGGGCCGCCAACATGCTGAGCCGGCTCGGGGCGCTGCTGCAGGAGGCCGTGGGGGCGGTGAGGCCGGGGAGGCCCGGGCGCGCGGGACTAGGCCGGAAGGGCGGGCGCCGGGCCGGAGGAGGAGCCGGCGGGCGGGCGGGCGGGCGGAGGGCACGGGCCCGCCTCGGGGAAGCGACCCCCAACCAGGCCGCGGCGCCCTTTCCCGGGCCTCCCCTCTCCCCCGTCGCGCCCCTCCCGCACAGCCCTTCCTGCTTCGCGTGGCCTCTTTCCCTGTCGCGCCTACTCCCAGCTCCTCTCCAGATCGCCCCAGCCCCTCACCCTTTTCCCCAAATGGCTTCCTGTTTATTTTTCCTGCTCCCCGTTCCCAGTTCGCTCCCAGTTCCCAAACTCTGCTGTGCTAGAGGGCTCCCTTGTCACCCAGTAGTTTCCTCCCCAAGGTCCCTTCCCCAGGCCCTTTGCCTTCCTCCCCCCCCCTCCCCCGCTCCTCCCTTTCTGGTCACCTGGGCTGGAAAAATAGATGCCCCTCGCCTTCCTTCTGAGCCCCCAGGCAACCCCAAGACCTTCGTCAGGCGCGTGTGCTCTCAGCCTCCACTGGTGAAGTTCCGGCCCAGATTGGCCACGTCTCCAGGAAGCGTGTATATATACAGCCCAGGGGTGGGTGGGCGCCTGGCCCAGGGAACAGCCTGCCGCGGGGCACAGGGCGGTATCCAGAATGTTATCTCACCCCACACTGGCCCTGGCCAGAGTGACCTTGAGTCAGGAGAGGCCAGCAGTGGGGGGACTTGTGGCGGCCATATGAGGGAGAGTGTGTGTGTTTGCCATTATCTGTCGGGTTGAAGGCTGGTCAGAGGCCGGTTCACTTCATTCAGCAAGATAAAAGTGCAGTTTAGATAGACTAGGCCAAATGCCTTCTGTTTAAAGTAACCTTGCCAAGAATCTGTCTGTAAAGTTAACAGTTCTTTTGTTCCAAAGTAGAGGTCTCTTCTAATTGATCAATTTAGTATATTCTGTACGATTTGCTCAGAAGAAACAACCTTGTGTCCCACCTCCTTTCTCCCCCACACCCCCCATCCAAAACAGAGCTTATTAAAAATGAGAACAGTCTCAGCCTTAATCGAACCTGTGAAGAAAGTGAAAAGCTCCTCCCACCTCTCCTTCACCTGTCCCCAGCCCTGCCCTTCCTAATGTCCAGAGCAGCCCACCTCGGGAGGGGTCCAGAATGATCTTGCCTTCCCTTCCTCCTTGTCTCCAATCAAAACAGCTGTCATCTTAGAAAGTGGTGTGACAAACCACTTCATACCTCTCAGGAAAGCTCCATACACAGGGTGGGAGACGGGCCAGAGAGAGGCTTAGTCCTGAGAAGTGACTTTCTAATCCTTCCAATGCAGGCATTTCAGCATCTAGGTGCTGGAGGAGGGATTGGTGGTCAAGGGAGGTATTTTTAGGCAGGTGATTTTTGGCCCGTGAGTATCAGATACATAGACAATGCCGTGGAAGTTTGGCTGGCCCCATGTAACTGTCAGGAGAGAGGGGAACCCCTCTTTTTCCCCCCATCCCCACATGGGGACGCATAGGTCTTCGCCTGCCTGGGTCACCAGGTTAAGACCCCAGCAGGTTGCTTGACTCCTTGTTAAGGAGGAAGAGTGCTCCTTCCTGCCCTCTTCTGACAAAACAATAGCAATCGTTAGGGTTCTTTTAGAAAATATTCTTTATTATTATTAACAAAGATAAGATTAGTAATTTAATAATTTCTCTTTAAAATAAATCATTTGGTACAATTTCTTTGGAGTTATAAGAGCTAATAGTAGATTGAGGTGAAGATGATCCCCTTGCTTTGTCCTGACAGTCTGTTTTGTTACAGTCTGTTTGCTGCTGTCTGTGTTCTCCCGGGTCTCCTGTTCTTACTGGGTTGTTCGTTTTCAGCATAAGCCCAGCTTAAGGGTTCAGGAGACTACAAATGAATTTTGAGGCTAGATGAGAGCCCATCACTGCGCTGGAAGATGACTTATAGTGCCGGTCAAGAGTCGGAGGGCTTTCCTGAGACAAGGAACTGTGGAAAGGATGTCTAAAGGAGTTTGCTGAGATGTTTAGTAAATGCGAATGACTAGTCACTCATGGCAGAGCCCTTTAGGGGCAGGCAGAGCTAGAAAACACAGAGCCCGAGCCGTGAGGGAGCTCACAGTCTAGTAGAAGAGAAGACTCTAATCCCACAATCACAGTCTCGCACAGGACGTGGTAAGAGACAGTGGCCTCGTGTGGATGGTGTGCTTGGAATGACCGTGGGAGGTACTGCTCCAGTAAGGGTCATGCCCCCGCCCCTGCAGCTAACCGTGAAAGAAGACAAGGTTGCCTGGGCAGCCAAGGGTTGAGGGGGAGAGTTTCAGGGCCTCTGATTCAGTGTTACTGCTTCTTCCTCCTGTCTTCATGGCCTTCTAACCATTCTTCCTGCCTTCATCATCACAGAACTGTCAGCGGACTCTGCCTGAAACACTGCTTCGCAGACGTCCTTGACCTGCCCCTGACTGCCTACAAAAACAATCCTGACCTGGTGACTCGATGTTCAGGGGCCCATACGCTCATCAATCCATCCTTGTCCCAGACACACTTTGCAGAGTTCCTTCCGCAGGAAACGTCTTTCCTTCATCTCTAATTATTGACTTGGGACCGCATTCGTCACGTTTTAGTTTCAGGGTAACCTCAGTAAAGCCTTTTCTGTTCCAGTGCTCTTTTCCCACGGACCATTTTCTACCTGTCCCGCGTTCTCACACGACTTCCTACAGCTGAGTTACTCGGGGCGGTTTTCATATTCTGTTCCCCCTGGCCCTGGGTGTCTCCGGCAGCCTTGTATTGCTTACAGCATCTGGCGTGGTGTCTTGTACACAGGAGGCACTCAAAAGATACTTCCTGAACGAATCAGGAGTAGACACTCAGTTCTGTGCTGTAGTGAAGTGTGAGGTTAGATGCCTCCAGGAACTCTGGTGAGGCCTTTGCGGAACCGGTGGCCCTTAGCTGGACCTCACTGGTGACTGTTCGGATCTAGGCAAGTGTAGGGGGACACAGGGCCTCCTGGGCAGAGGAGTGGCCTGAGCAAAGATGGGAGAGGTAGAAATGAGCACCTGTGGTGAGGGACTATCTGATTATGCATTTTTCTCCTGTATACATTTACTCTGCAAGGAAAGAGAGTGACAGCTCTTTTTTTGAGTTTTCAGGGAAAGCAGTTGTTATCGGTGTGGAGATGAAGAGATAACTTCTGGAAGAGGGGCAGGTTTGGGGCTTGCTCGTAGCAGAAATAGAATTCCCTCGGGCTGGAGGCTGTGCATCCCCAGCTCCTCTAGCAACCTGCAGCCTTGGACAAAAGATGCAAACATGTTATATATAAGTAAGGCACCTCATGAATCTTATGCTAACTACCTATCTGGCTGAACGAAGCCTTTCGATGACCTCGAACACAGATTTGTGCAGACTCTCGGACTGAGAGGGGCCCGAAAGCTTTGTCTTTGCCATGTTTTCCACGCGTATCATTTTGATTTTGTTGTTTTGGGGGCGCTCTCCTGTTTTCCTCTGTATCCTTCTACAGTAGCGTAACCACGTTGAGACAAACCGTTTCTGTGTCTGTCCCCCCGACCAACGTTCTTAGATCTTCTGGGCCAGGGACTGTGGAGTCATGACGCATAGCAGGAGCACAGCGTCTCCAGGAGAGAGGGGGGCTGGGAGAGGTGCCAAGAGATTGTCCTGGAGAAAACGCCTTCGTGTTCCCTTTGAGAACCTGGATCACGGTGCCTCCTCCAGGGCCTGGCACTGACCCGACCCCTGGTAGACGGCTGACCGTCCGCTGTGATGAGTGACAGTGGCAGCCCCTCACGCTGAGTCTGCTCTCTCCACAGCGGGAGCCCAGCATTGACCTGCTGGAGGCCTTCGTGGAGCACTGGAAGGGCATCACGCACTACTACATTGAAAGTACAGGTGGGAGCCCTGCAGCCAGTGGGGAGGAAGGTGTGGGCCGCGTCCCCATGCCCGGCAGAGATGCATGTGGCCTGGAGAAGGTGATGAGGGCTGCACAGGGGTTGAGAGTGGGAGCTGGCCCCACCCTGACCTTTTGGGAGAGGAACTGTGTGAGGTAGGAGTGGGGACATCACTGAGCTGACTGCAAGGCAGAGGCTGAGCTCCACTTGCCCCTCGCTTCCAGCGAGGCAGAGTGTCCAGGCCTGCGGTCCTCAGGGCCCGTGTCCAGGGCTTACTGATTAAAAGAAACGGAATCAAGTCCTCCTTTCCCTGAGCTAACTGTGAGGGCATTTCCCTTATAGAAATCTAAGGCAGGGAGACGACAAAAGCCAATGCCCATAACGTGCCTGGGTCCGTGTCCCCCAGCTGACACCCCAGACAGCAAAGCTTTGGGTAATCTGGGCCCAGCAGGATGACTCCCTAAGGGGTGGAATCGGATTGGCTGCTTTGTAGTCTGTATGTTGGTATTGGTGGATACACATTGGTTGCCAGGTAACCCTGTCCGGCATCCCCGGCTTTCTACCTCCTGGTTCAGACTGGGGTTTGATTCCAGTCTACCCCTTTCCTGAAGACTTGATTTCCAGCCTGAGCCAGCCCAAAAAATTAAAAAGCAGTCTTTGGACACTTTGAGGGACCCCCCCCCAAATGTCCTTTTAGACCAGGTTTCCCAATCTTGGCATGGTTGACATTTGGGCTTGACCATTCTTTGTGGTGGAGGGCTTCTGGGGGCGCATGGTGGGGTGTTTAGCAGCAGCTCTGGTTTCCACTGTCCCCATTGCAATAAGTATAAATGTCTCTCCAAACATTGCCAAATGTTCCCGGGGGCAGAATTACCCCCGGTGGAGAACAATGGCTTTAAACTGAAGATCTTTTTTTCCTTTTTAGAGGTAATAATTGATGTTAACATTATATAATGTAACTTGGGTGTACAACATATTGATTCAATATATGGATATATTGTGAAGTGATGACCACAATAAGTCTAGTTAACATCCATCACCCTAACTAGTTGCCAATTTTTTCTTGTGATGACAACTTTTAAGATCTACTCTTAGCAATTTTCAGATACGCAATACATTAACTATAATCACTATGCTGTATATAACATTCTCAGGACTTATTTATGAGTTTTTATTTTTGTTTTTGTTTTTCAGAGAGGGAGGGGGGCAGAGGGAGAGGGAAAGAGAGAGAATCTTAAGCAGGCTCCACACCCAGCACAGAGGCTGATGCGGGGCTCACTCTCACAACTCTTGAGATCATGACCTGAGCCGAAATCAAGAATCAGACACCCAACTGACTGAGCCACCCAGGGCGCCCCGGGACTTACCTGCTTACTTACTTACTTATTAAGATTTTATTTATTTATTTGACAGAGAGAGACACAGAGAGAGAGAGAACACAAGCAGGGGGAGCAGCAGAGGGAGAAGCAGGCTTCCCGCAGAGCAGGGAGCCCGATGCGGGGCTCCATCCCAGGACCCCGGGATCAAGACCTGAGCCGAAGGCAGACGCTTAACTGACTGAGCCACCCAGGAGCCCCAGGACTTATTTATTTTTTAATTGGAAGTTTGTACCTTTTAGACTGAAGGTCTCTTGACAGAGAGCCCCAATCTACCAGGATGTAGGAAAAGATCCAGAACTGACTTCAGGTCCACCTGGGGCTTCACCTGAACCCAATCCATTAATTTCCAGAACAGTCCCTAGACCATAGGCACAGGGATGGGTGAGGTGAGCTGAGCTGTGTTGTTCAAAAACCAGTGCTTTCAACATAAGCTAGAGGGTGCTCCAAGGCCGGTCCCAAAGCACCAAACCTTGCTTTATGCAAACTCTGTCTGAGACTCTCACCAAGAAAGCCCCAGCTTCTCCATCAAGACCTTTGCACAACGGAGCAGGTTTGCCTCCGAACTCATGGTCATGCATGGATTTTTTTTCTCCTGTGTAAAAAAAATTGTTTCTCCTTTCTGCCTCCTGTGAGTGTAAAAAGGGACCAGAGGTTTACCTCTCCAGAAACTGCTCCAAGACAGCTTCTAAATTCTGTGACAGAGACCCCTGAGCCCCCGGCTTCTTGTTCGGGCCCAGAGCTGACCTGCAGCCTGAGCAGTGTACCCTCCTGGACACCCCCGGGGTTAGGAGAAAAAATGATGCCGCCTCCCTCTGATAAAGCGCTAGAGTATGCACACATTCCCAGTCAGAGGGCTGTATCCTGGGCCTCATCCAAAAGGTCTTTTGCCTTTTTAAATATAGAGGCACCAACTGTAAATTTCCACTTCCTCTGGTCTTCGTTCGAAGCCAACTGTGAACCGAGCCTTACTCCAGGTGTACCCTCGGTCTCCCTCCACCCCCTGGGCCCCAGGGGCTCGACCTCATCACCTCACTCACCCTTGTTTCCTGAATCTCATTAGATGAAAACACACCCGCCAAGAAAACGGATATTCCCTGGCGGCTGAAGCAGATGCTGGACATCCTGGTGTACGAGGAGAGGCAGCAGACGGCAGCTGGTGAGGCCGGGCCCTGTCTGGAATACTTGCTGCAACACAAAATCCTGGAGACGCTGTGCACACTGGGCAAGGCCGAGGTGGGCACACCCCGGGGAGCCCCTGCGGCCCCGGCTCGTCCCTCTGTGTTCCTGTCCCGTTGTGTCATGGAAACGCTGCCGTTATTCAGTCAGGGTTCATTCAGCCAAAGGTGTGCTAAGAACCGGCCGTGTGCCAGGCAGGGGCCTCGGTGCTGCAGACCCAGCAGCTATTAAAACAGATGAAAGTTCTAGTCAGAGAGAGTGGGTCACCAGGGGGGCCCACACGCAGTCTGTCCAACCATGACAGGTCATGGAGAACGGTGAAGCGGGACAGGGACCCAACAGTGTGGGCAGGCTGGTTTCAAAGGGCGCAGCTCATTTGATTGCAGTCCACGTGATGGTGCTTCACAAAGCTGGCATTTCTTACAAGTCGGAGGTTTGGGGCAACAGTGCACTGAGAGTCAGTTGGTGCCATGTTTCCAGCAGCATCTGGTCACTTCATGTCTCTGTGTCACATTTTGGTAATTCTTGGTAATATTTCCAACTTAGTGATGATATTCCTCACGGTGATAGGTGCTCAATGATTTTTGATGTTGCTATTATAATTGGGGGCACCACAAGTAATGCCCCTGTAAGACAGCTCCACTGACTAGCCCTTCCCCGTCTTTCTCCCTCTCCTTGGGCCTCCCTACTCCCCGAGACACTACAATATTGAAATTTGGCCAACTAATACCCCTCCAGTGGCCTCCAAGTGTTCAAGTGAGGAAGAGTCACGCGTCTCTCACTTTAAATCAAAAGCTAGAAATGATTAAGCTCAGTGAGGAAAGCTGAGATGGGCCAAAAGCAGGCCACATGACAAACGGTCAGCCAGGTCGAGAACGCAAAGGAAAAGTTGTTGGAGGAAATTCAAAGTGCCCTCCGGTGAACGCGCGAACAATAAGAAAGCAGAACAGCCTTATTGCGGCCGCGCCGAAGGTCTGACGGGTCGGCCTAGAAGAGCAAACAAGCCACGATGGTCCATTAAGCCAAAGCCTGACCCTGAGCAAGGCGCTGACTCGCTTCGGTCGGGCGAAGGCTGAGAGCGGTGAGGAAGCTGCCGGGGGAACGTCGGAAGCTGGCAGAGGTGGGTCCGAGAGGCGTAAGAGAAGACGCCGCCCCTGTAACATCAGGGTGTGAGGGGAGGCGGCCAGCGCTGGGGTAGACGCTGCAGCCAGTTCTCCGGGAGACCGAGCAGGATAAGTGATGAAGGAGGCTACGCGGAGCAACAGGTTTCCAATGCGGATGAAACAGCCTCTATTGGCAGAAGACACCAGCTAGGACCCTCAGCGGCCGGGGGGATGTCAGTGCCCGGCTGCAAAGCTTCCAAGGGTGGGCTGACTCTCTTGTCAGGGGCTGAGGCAGCTGGTGACTTGAAGTCGAGGCCAGCGCTCATTGACCATTCTGAAAATCCCAGGACCCTGGACAGTTGTGTTCGTGCCACTCGGCCTGTGCTCTGTGAACGGAACAACAAAGCCTGGGTGACAGCACTTCGGATCACAACGTGGTTTCCTGAATATTTTAAGTGCACCGTTGAGACCTAGCGCTCCGAAAAAAATATTCTTGTCAGACCACGACTGCTCACTGACCATGCACCTGGTCACGCACGAGCTCTGATGGAGAAGTAGAACGAGACGATGGTTGTTTCCTGCTGACACGGCAGCCATGCTGCAGCCTGGGGAGCAAGGAGGCATTTGACCCTCAAGTCTTATTATTTAGGAAATACATTTTGTAAGGCGGTGGCTGCCATAGATAGCGATTCTTCCGATGGATTTGGGCAAAGCAAATTGAAAAACCTTCTGGCAAAGATTCGCCATTCTAGGTGCCACGGAGAACATTCGTGATTCATGGGAAGATGTCAAAATATCAACATGAACAGGAGCTTGGAAGAATTCGATCGCAACGTTCATGGATGACTCTGGCGGGTTCAAGACTTCAGAGGAGGAAGTGTGGGGGAGAGAGCGAGAGAACTAGAACAGGAAGTGGAGCCTGAAGATGGGACTGAATGGCCGCCATCTCGTGATCAAACTAACAGATGAGGAGTTGCCGCTCATGGATGAGCAAAGAAAGGGGTTGCTTGAGATGGAATCTACTCCTGGGGAAGACGCTGGGAAGATTGTTGAGATGGTAACAGATTTAGAGCATTGCGTAAACTTAGTTGATAGAGAAGCGGCAGGTTGGAGAGGACTGACTCCGATTTTGCAAGAAGTTCTACTGTGAGTAAAATGCTATCGAACAGCATCGCGGTGGTACAGAGAAATCGGAAGAGTCGATCAACACGGCCAACTTCACTGTTGTCTTATTTTAAGAAGTTGCCACAGCCATTCCCACCTTCAGCAACCACCACCCTGATCAGTCAGCAGCCACCAACAGCGAGGCAAGAACCTCCACCAGCAAGAAGATTACAATTCGCTGAAAGCTCAGATGATGGTTGGCATTTTTTAGCAGTATTTTAAAATTAAGGTTATGTACGTTGCTTTTTAGACATAACGCAATTGCACAATTAATAGACTACAGTATAGCATAAACATAGCTTTTGTATTCACTGGGAAGCCAAAAAATTAATTTGACTTACTTTATTGCGATATTCACTTATTGCAGTATTTGCTTTATTGTGGTGGTCTGGAAGCAAACCTGCCTGTCTCGGAGGTGTGCCTGTAGTGAGGGAAGGCGGCTTGCAGAAAATGTGCTCTCTGAGCAGTGACCGAGGGAGGATGGTTGCTGTGGCCCGGGGGCGGGGAGCATTCCAGGCAGTGGGCAGGCTCCATCTTCTGACGGGCACTCTGTTCCTTGACACTCAGTACCCCCCAGGGATGCGACAGCAGGTATTCCAGTTCTTCAGCAAGGTTCTGGCCCAGGTGCAGCACCCCCTCCTGCATTACCTCAACGTCCACAGGCCTGTGCAGGTGAGGGGCCAGGAGACCAAGGGGTGTCTGAGGGTCAAGCCCTCTCTCTTCTCTGCTACCCCATTCTTCTCTGTTTCTAATTTGCTTCCCTTCTAGAAGCTTCTCCGACTTGGCGGGACAGTTCCTGGATCCCAAACAGAAAAGGAGGAGGTACAGTTCACCACCGTCCTCTGCTCCAAGATCCAACAGGACCCAGCCCTGCTCACCTACATCCTGGAAGTGAGCACCTCTGTGAGGGACAGGAGCGGGAGGGCCCTGACCCCAGGGCAGGCCCCTAGGCCCTTCCGAGGAAGCAGAGGGTGGAGCAGGTACTCAGGCGCCTAGGCGGCTTTCCCTCCAGCTCTATGCCGAGGCCCTGACAGCCAACACATCCTGCATTCCCAAGGGGGCATCGTGGGGAATGGTCCGCACCATGACATGGCTTCACCTGACCTTCTTTGCAGGGTAAAAAGATTGTCAGTAGGAAGAAGTCATCCAAAGAACCCACCACCCTGCCTAGAGAGGCAGCCAGCATCCAAGACAAGGACCACCCCCGCAGCAAGGCTCCTGACACGAGTCCCTGCGGGGCCCGGGCCTTGAGCACGCAGCTGCCTGCCGAGACAGAGGAGCCAGATGGAGCGGCTGGGGAAAGCAACCTCATCACCTCCCTGATCGGGTTGTGCAAAAGCAAGGTGCTTGCTGCCGAGACAGAGTGGGCAGGGACGAGGAAGGCAAATTGCTGGGAGGGGATCTGGGGGTTCAGATGTATGTCCCTGAAGTCGTACCCCTATCCCCTAGAAAGGTCGGGTGGCTCTGAAGGCCCAGGAGAACCTGCTGCTCCTGGTAAGTGTGGCTTCGCCTGCAGCTGCCACCTACCTGGTGCAGAGCAGTCCTTGTTGCCTTGCTGTGGTCGAGCACCTCTGCCACCTGTACCAGTCCGTGCCCCCCTTCCTGGACCCGGCCGACATTGCCGCGCTAGAGGGCGTCAGCTGGAGGTAGGCGCTTGACCCGGGAAGCTGGCCTACATCTTCAGTGGCGAGAAGCCCTCCCTATCCTCTGGTTTTCTAGGAGGGATGGGGACCCCTGCTGGCCACCCTCTTGCTGAGGGCACAGCCTATCCTCAAGGGCTTTCCCCCCTCGCTCCCCCGCCCCGCACCAGCAACAGAGGTTGCAGAGAGAAGGGGCCCAGATTCTGGAACATCCCTGAGGCAGGCCTCACAGCTCCTCCCTTGCTCCCCCTCAGGTTGCCCAGTGCCCCATCTGATGAGGCTTCCTTCCCTGGCAAGGACGCCTTGGCTGCCTTTTTGGGCTGGTTTGATTACTGTGACCACCTCATCACAGAGGCACACATGGTGAGCCAGGGCCCCAACAGGGCTCTCTGGGTGGGGGGGGTGCCCTGCGGTTGACTCCACTCCCTTCCCTGTGTCCACCTTGAGGACCAAGTGGGTGTCTCAGGAGCTAGGCAGGGCCCCCGGGCTGCCTATTGTGTTAAACGCTGTGCAAGGACACGGTTGTTTCTCGATGGAAAACTGTCATGGAGGTAAAACGTGCTTAAGACATGTTCTTTGGCACCTAGGTGGTTGCAGACGCCTTGGCAAAGGCTGTGGCTGAGAAGTTATTTGTGGAGATTCTGCAGCCCCACCTCCTGCATGTGTAAGTCTATGTCCTGTTCCCTTGGGCATGGCCGTGGTTGGGCCCAGTTGCTCACCCCACCAAGTCCCTTCCTGTCCCTAAGGCCAGGGATCTCCTTGGCCAGAGTTACGTGCATCTGTGGGCTCCATGGTTAATGTTTGCCGGGCCTGGCCCCCTGACACACATGTGGCTCAGAGCCACACGGGCTGACTCCAGGACCTGAGGAGGGCTAGGGAGCAAGCAGAGAAATACCAGGGAAGGCATAAGGAAACCAGGAAAGGGTTCTGTCACCCCCACACTCGTTCACTCCTGGCTCCCTCTCTGCTCTCCCCTCTCCACCTGGCTCTCAGCCCCCAGGCCTGGCTCAGTGCTCTTTCTCTGTAGTTCTGAGCAGAGCGTCCTGACCTCCACCGCCTTGCTCACGGCCATGCTGCGTCAGCTCCGCTCTCCTGCCCTGCTGCAAGAGGCTGTGGCTTTCCTCCTGGGCACAGACCCACGGGCTGCAGCCCCCGACGACGGCCCCCGCACTCTGTGCGCTCACCTCATCGGGCACTGCGACCACCTCTCTGACGAGGTGAGGGGGTGGGCGTTGTCCTTCTGGCTCCCACCGACCCCTGCCCAAGGGATCCCCTGACTGCTCCTCCCGCTTGCACTAACTTACCAGGTGGTACTGCCTTTGAGGCATTGAAATGCATACCCCCCAAAAACAGTGACTGCTTTTGTCACACGCTGATTTTCTGTGATCAGATGCTTGCCATGTGACTTGATGTTTTCCAAACCTATTTCATATTCACTTGGCGTGTTTGAGGCTTACAGCTACTCCGAGCTAGGTGAGGCCGCTATTCCATTTCTCAGCCATGGAAACTGAGACACGGAAAACCCAGTTGGCTCACTTGATAACATACATCAAATCAGTAACAGAACCAGGACTGGGCAGACTTTCGGCTCCCAGCCCAGCACCCACCCACTCCCCCCAAAACCTGCCACCTGCTCTTTTCTTATCTGAGTGAGCAATTCCCAGGGACCCCTAGAAACCGGGGTCCTGCTGACCCTTTCTTACCCAGATCAGCATCACCACCCTGCGGCTATTCGAGGAGCTGCTCCAGAAGCCGCACGAGCAGGTCATCCGCAGCCTGGTCCTGTGCAACCTGGAGGGCCGCCATTATGTGGCCCGGGGCTCACCCGAGCCCGAGAGCTACGAGGACACCCTGTAAGTGAAACCCTGCGCCTCTGGGAGGCCTCAGGCTGCTGGGACCCGCCACAGCCCCCCGTACCCCTGCACTTGCTCATTCATTCATTGGTGCCGCAGAGATCTGGAGGAAGACCCTTACTTCACAGACGGCTTCCTCAACTCCAGCTTTCACCCCTCAGCAAAGCCTCCCCCAGCCCCTGCCACCAACTCAGATGGCAAAACAGCAGTGACCGAGATTGTCAACAGGTAGGGAGCCGTCTGGAAATCTAAGCCACTTGAGGTTTGTTCTGTCTTTGGCTCTAGCTCTGAGGGAGGCGCAGCCCAGGAGGGAGTGTTGCCTCGGGGCTGGAGATGGAGTGGGCAGGAACAGGGCAGCCCAGGCAGTGCCCCTCCACACCTAGGGTCTTGTCTCTCAGTTTCCTCTGCCTGGTTCCTGAGGAAGCCAAGACCTCGGCTTTCCTAGAGGAGACCGGATATGACACGTACGTCCACGATGCTTATGGACTGGTGAGTGTTGAGGCCTCTGCCAACGCCCACTTCTTGTCCCTCAAAGCCGGGGCGTTGATAAACTCCACCTTCTCCCTCTGTGATCTGCCCAAGGTGCTCCCTGCTCCGGCCAAGGGCCTCGAGTCCATCCTTCCTCTGTGGTGCCCGCGGTCTGCGGGTGCCTCCTGACCACTGGGCCCACCTCCTCAACCCTCACTCCTGTTTCAGTTCCAGGAGTGCAGCTCCCGAGTTGCCCCTTGGGGCTGGCCCCTGGGCCCCACACCCCTGGACCCCCATGAGCCCGAACGGCCTTTCTTTGAGGGTCACTTCCTCCGAATGCTGTTTGACCGCATGTCCCGGATTTTGGAACAGGTAGCCAACAGGACTGGGCCCTGGCTACAGGGTGAGGGCCCATGGGAGAACTCCAGGCAGGTACCCTGGGGGCGGTTTGAGTCCTCTTTGGTTCTTCAGCTCCATACCCCCCTCCCCCACCCCTCCCACTTCTCCAGGCAGGAAGCCCCATCTTGCCTCTGCTCCACACGCCCTAACATGTTCTGGCCCTCAGCCCCAGGGAATCCGTGACACACACACATCACGTGAGACTCCCACCCCCGCACACGTTCACACTGGCCAGGCGCCTTGCTGGGGGAGTGCAAAAATGCTCACCGCCCCCTGTCAACCCTTGGCTTGTCCACTGTGCTCCCTACAGCCATACAGCCTGAACCTGCAAGTGACCTCAGTCCTGTCCCGGCTTGCCCTCTTCCCCCACCCCCTTATCCACGAGTACCTCCTGGATCCCTACATCAACCTGGCCCCTGGCTGCAGGAGTCTGTTCTCTGTGCTCGTCAGGGTAAGGATGCCGGAGCCCAGGGCTGTGTGCCCGTGGGGTGGCAGGAAGAGAGGGGATCAGGAGGGGGGTGGGGGCCACAGGAGTGGGCACTCTGGACAGTTCCACCCCTCCTCCACTGTGCTACAGCAGAGCTAGGGGACCCTGCATGAGGGTCACTGGCCCCCACCTCAGCCGTGTCTCATTCCCGCTCTAGGTGATCGGGGACTTGATGCAGAGAATTCAGAGAGTACCCCAGTTCCCGGGCAAATTGCTCCTGGTGCGCAAGCAGCTGATGGGTCAGGTCCCTGGGGAGCAGTAAGTAACCGAGGGAAATGGGTGCCCAAGCACGGACCCTAGGGTGGGAAGGCAGACTGCCCAAGGATAGTGGGAGGGGCACAGGCTTGGCGGGGAAGAGGGCCCGTTGCTGAGCTCAGTCTTCACTCAGAGATGTCTGCCACTGGAGTGTGCCTCATGGACACTGGGATGTCATACTGGCCACACTCCCACCGCCTCCCAGCCATGATCCCCCCATGCTGTCTCCCTCAGGCTGGACCACCAGACTCTCCTCCAGGGCGTGGTGGTTCTTGAGGAATTCTGCAAGGAGCTGGCTGCCATTGCTTTCGTCAAGTTCCCCCCACATGGTCCTCACCTGCACCTCTCCTCTCCCCGAGAAGGGCACGTCTGAGCCAGGAACAGGACAGGAGGGGAGACTTCTGTCCATACCTCTGCCCAAGAGCTGCCTCGCACCTGGCACTGCCGCCACCTCCTGCCTCCCAGGTTGGGGGCTTGGTTCCATCTCTACCTCCCAGGCACCTCTGCCTCTGAGGAGGCCTGGGCTTCCACTCCCAGGTTAACTCAAGAAGATCGTGGCCTGTCAGTCACACGAGACTGGGTTCAGGGAGTGGGTCTCCAAGGTACCAGAAGCCAAGGAGCAAAAGAGATGGCCTCCCAGACAGCATGGTGTCCTCGGGGCCTTCTCGGGGCAGCTGGGTAATTGCCAGGCGAGCACCCAGACCCAGACCCTCACATGTCCTGTGCCTATTACCCGAGTCGACGGGCCATTCGTGGCCAGGGCCAAGACCTGTGGCTCGGTTCCAGGGGCACAGAGGGGAGTGAGTGATGGTTCTGAGGCTGGTCAGGAGGGCAGGCCAGAGAGACGGGGGCGCAGGAGCCCCGTCTCTGTCACGCTAGGTACCACGGACACTGCTAAGACGACATTTTTTCTCCTGCCTTCTTGGCTTAATCCGTGGCAAAGGGGCAGTGGATAGCCAGGGAAGCCCACTCTTCTGCCCAGCCCTCCTGGAGACTGTTGCAAAATTCCCAACCGCCTCATGGCAAATATCCAAAGCATGCTCCGCGCCCAGGCGGGGGCAGCTGCTAATGAGAGCCTTGGTGTAACTGCAGCCAGGGCGGGAGAAGCCTTGGGAAGTTGGGGGCTGGGTGCCAGGCTCTGGCTCCAGCTGCTTTCTCTCTGGCGCCTCTGAACCCGTCCCGGCAGGTCCTCAACACCTGAGCAGAGGGGCTCAGAGACTGGGGGGAGGCCGAGCCTGGCCCTCAGCTTTCCACCCAGCCTGCAGTGCTCTTGATGGCATACTCTTCCGGGGGAGCCAGGGAGCTCAGGACAGACGAGGCCAGGATGCCCACCTGACCCCAAGCCCCCAGGGTCCGGCGGGGAGGCGCTGGGGCCCAGGCAGCCAGTTGTAGTGTTGTTCTCCCTGCATGCCCTTCACGGCTGGGGCTGCCACCCCACCCGGCCTGAATCTGTCTCAACCTGCAGGAACACACAGGCGGCGCCAGGCATTACCTCACAGCAGGACTGCAGTTGCTGGCTTCGCTCCTGGGCAAGGAGGAGCAGGCCAGAGCCCCTTTCGCTTCCTTTTCCTGCCTATGCCGCTTCTAGAAGCCGGCCGGAGGTTGCCAGGAGGTGACATGGAAGAGGAGAAACTCAGTGACCTCTCCCTCTCCTGCGTTCCTCCAAGCTGGGGAGGACGTAACCGCTGCTCTGAAGGACACCGTGCATGTGCATGCATGCGTGTGTGCCCACGTGGGTGTTGGCGCGGGACCGGAGAGCAGAGCTCACAGGGCAAATTGAACTCTTTGAGTCAGAAAAACGTTTGAGCGTCCGGGAGTCACAGAGACTCCCCTCCTCCATCCCCTTCAGCATTCACACTGCGTCCCCCCACGACAACACAGCAATAAATGGTTTGGTTGCGTGGACACAGCGGCCCTGTTCGCCACTCTTCGTGTCCTCCTGCGCAGGACTCCACTGCTCATTCAGGCCCATCTTCCTCCCCAAGAAAGACACATTCCTTTTCCAGCACTGGAGTGGAGGGAGGTGGTGTCCGGGTGGGCGGGGGGTGGGGGCAGGCGACGGTGGTGGTAAATAGAGACAGGCTCCGGCAGCGCACATCTGATGTTCCTCAGCGCCTGCCAGGAACCAGGCTCCTTGGCCAAGCAACACTTTCTGCCCAGCTTACCTACAGCTGAGAGCCAGCTAGCCTTGGAGACACTGGGAGAGAACGGGCCATCTGGAGCATCTGTGTGCAAGTCTCATTTTGGGGTGTTTATGTTTTGAGTTGTATGAATGCTTTAGTGGACCTCCTATTTTAACAACCTGTCCCTAGATGTATGCGTGTGGGGATGCTCTCCGGAAGGTAGCTGAGTGAACTCCAGGACAAAGCAAGTTGAAAACTCGGATCGGACTGATGAGTGGCTCTTACCTCTTACCACGTCACAATCACTGGGTTTGCTTTTTACCATACCTGTGGAATCGGTGTCTCTGGGGGTGGGCCCAGAGTTGTTTTTAAAGCTCTCCAGGTGATTCTAATGGGCAGGGTCGAAAACTAGGCTAAATAAAAGTGGGAGCAAAGATTGCCCTTCGACAGGGATATGGACTGGCGGGTCCCTCAGACACTGAGAGAAATGAACCAAAGTGAAAGGGTTTGATTCCATCATGTGGGAGATGTTTGTCCTCAGACGGCACAAGAGGATTCCTACCACAGCCTACGGCCAGAAAGACAAGATGGCAGCCAAGAGAGGATGGGAAAGGGGGCCATCAGTGTCAGAGTGGAGTTACCTCAGAAGGGAAGCCTAGTCAAGTGTCCCCTTGCTCAGAACCAGAGATCTGTATTACACGCAGTGATCAGCACACGATATATTTTCTTTGTTCACTTCCTGTGGTTTTTCCCTTAAGTTTTAGTAAAGTTCTTTTTTAAAACAATAATTTTTATCATGATTCTGCTGGGCTGAGGGGAAAGGAATAAAGGGTTTTGGTCTGGCTTGGGCTGAAGTTGTAGAAAGGCAGAGGCAGGAGCCTGGAGGCCAGCAGAGTGATGCAGGGAGGGAACAGGGAAGCTCAAGGAGGCAGGACCAGCTTCTACTTTACAGCTCCTTGCCCACCTGAAGCCTCTGGTGTTCTCACTGCTCAAACCCCAGAGGGGATGTGGACACATCCTGCCCTGGCAGGCAAGAGAAAGAGAGCCCCAGTGGACCACAGAGGCTATGGTGGACAGCAGGAAGCCTGCCCACCCCAGTCACCTGCAGTCTGGGACACGAGCTTGCTATCTGGGAAGACCTGGGTGGCTGTGGTGGGACAAGGGGAGGAGCTTCTTTCTTGCTGCAGTTCCCCCTTCCTGCTCACTCCTCCCCACAGAGACATTTAGGCAAGAAGGCAAAGCAAATGCCACCTATTTACTCAGCAAGGGGCCCACTCCCTTGGAATGACCTCCCCCAGCAACCCAAGTCCATATTCTAAGTGCCTGAGAATCTGGATGTAGGCCTTTACTGAGGCAAGCATGGAAAATGACGAGTAGATGCCCTCTCAGGTTCAGAAAGTTCTCACATCCCCGTAGGGAGTAGTGCCTTCATTGTGCCCACAGGGCAATTAGATCCTTCAGCTCTGAACTCCTTGTTTGGTTAAAGGCACTGTCCTGGTGCAATGCAGGGACCTGTTCCACAGAGAAGGAAATTACCCTGAGAACTAGGAGAATCACCTCCTAATGCAACAAGACCCCTGACTGCCAACCTCCTGCCTCCCTCAGAGGAAGGCAGAGCCGCGGTGGGGGAGGAGAGGGCCCAGGAGCCTGGCTCCTTGCACAACGATGGCACCTTCCTATCTGTTGACTGGGACAACAGATGATTCCTGAAGTCTCTGTAAGAGCTGGCTTTGTAGATCTTCCTCCATCACCTTCCACCAAAAAAAGTTCTCACCCCGAACCTTTGGGGGCTCACTCTGCGTACCTGGGTTCCGAAAAGCCACAGTCACCAGCACATTCAAGCAGACGCCATCTGCATGGTCTTTGCCCAGATGCTGCAGTCCAAGCAACCCCTTGGTCTCCACTGCCAAGTGGTGCAGGGTCAGACACTCCTGTAGCAGCCGCAGGATGGCCATCTTGATGCCACCCCTTTGCTCCATGGGAGTGAAGCCGCAGGCAGTGATGGGCAAGTGAGGCATCCCCACTGTGCCCACCAACACCCACACTGTCTGGACATTGGTAAAGGTGGCCACGAGTCGCTGGCAGACCAGACTACAGGGAAGCTCCTGGGGCAGAATAAGAGGGTGCCTGGCTTGCTGGCGGTACTGGGCGGCTAGCTCTACCAGGTGCAGAATGTCCCGGGCTCGCAGCGGAGTGGGCAGGGAGGTTCGTGGGTACCAGCCAGCCTGCAGGGACTCCGCATCCGCCTCCTTGGAAGTCTTGAGATTTCCACCTGGAGGGGATGTTGAGGATGGGGTGGGGGAAAGGGTGTCTGTTGAGAGAAGTGCTGGGTCTGGCAGATTAAACGGCCACCCAGGCATTCTAGCCCTGACCTACACCAGGGTTGGGGTTGGTAGGGGTTGGTAGGGGCTGGGAGTCAAATCCACAGGCTGGAGATGCCAGGCTTGTACCAGACAGACTAGGGGCTCATCTCACTAGAGGACAAGCTGGGGGAAAGGTGTCAGCTGCCCCCTGCCAAACACTGCCACCAGGTGGGCCATACCTGTGGCTCGAGCGAGGAACACAAAGCGGATCCAGGAGGGGCCCCGCTCCTCCACAGACAGCAATGTCAGAGGCTCACAGTGCAGCCCGGCCTCCTCCTTCACCTCCCGCTGCAGTGCCTCCACGATGGTCTCCCCAGGCTCCATTCTCCCCGCGGGTAGGTACCAAGACCCACGGCACTCTTTCTTGGCCTCCTGGATCAGTAGCACCTCATCCTGAGGGGAGAGAGAGGAGCTTCGCTGGGAATCTTCCCTTGCCCTGGGGTTAGATCCTATCTCAAACACAGTCACCCAACACCCCCTTACTGGTGCACACCTCAAACTGATGAGCTCTCCAGGGCGCTGGCCCTTGTGTTCCTGGGGGCCACAGCTGTCTCGCTCTGCAATTTATCCCTCTTTGTATTCAGACTTCCATTTCAGAAAGGGGCTAAGATTCCCGGGAGCTGTTTCAGGGGCTAGGGATTAGGCCCCACGGTGAGGTTTGCCATGTGTCCTGCACTGACTCCTGTCTATATGCCACATGTGTCTATGTGTATCTCTCACCTCCCCTGGTGATTTACAAACCGCTTGTGCCGGGGCCTCACACTGGGGCCTAGGCTTCGCAACACTCCCCACCCCCATACAACTCCTACCTATGGCCCTGGCCCCTTCTAGACAGTGTTGCAGCAACTTGCACCAGGATCAGCACGAAAAGAGCACCACACAGTGGGACAGGTCTGATATAAGCGCAGGTCGTGCCATTATTGTCCACGGTGCTCAGAGGAGGTCTCTGAGGCACTGGGCAGATCTTTAGCCCACTAGCGGCAGGCACTGTGCTAGGTTCTGGGGAAAGAGGCATAGGACAGGCCTCTTCTCAAGACACTGAGGCCTAGCGGGAGGAAATAAGCAGGCTCCCGGGCCTCAGATTCCTCTTCAGTATAGAGGGACAATCTCAGGGCTGGGCCGCACAAGGCTCAGATGTTAAGTGTGAGAGTGCTTTGCGAAACTGGGAGGCACCACGCACCAAGAAGTGGTGGCTGCTGCCGGCAGGTCCTCTGTCCCCACCGGGGCTGGCTGCGCGCTGCGGAGGGCCGGGCGCCGGGCCCAGCGGGCGGACTCTCACCTGCTCGTTGAGGAACACGGCCAGCACCACGTAGCAGACGTTCTTCCGCAGCCGCACGGGCGCCCGGGGCTCCCCGGCCGGCACCGAGTCGCAGCTGTGCACATTCAGCCCCTGGCCCCCCAACACCGCTGCCAGCGCCCCCGCCAGGCCCTCCGATGCCATCGGGTCCCCTGGGAGGCGGCAAACGGGCCCCCGCAGACCGACGGCGCCGGGCAGGGTGGACACGGTTGAGACAGCGGTCCGCCGCCGTCGCCCCCTCCCCCTGCCGACTCGGGCCAGGCGCGCTCGCGAACGCGGAAGCGCCGGCGAGCCCTGTCCGCTGATAGGCTACGCTTCACCGCGGCCTGCCCGGATTGGCTGGCTCGCGTCGGTCATGGCGGGGGCGGGCCCAGTCCGTGAGCGGGCTAGGAGCCGGGCCTGGGAGGTGGTTGCCGTGACCGGCTTCTGCTTCTCTCTCAGTTATCCGACGCCCCCCCTCCGGACATTTCTAGCCACCAGCCTCGCTAATTCCTCCAGCAAGCACTTGTCGGCGCGGGTTCCGACGATGACGTCATCCTGCCCGCGGGCTGCGGAGCGCCACTGTGGCCCGCGACTATGACGTCACAACAAGCCAGATGACATCACGGAGGCCCCGGGGCCGTGGCTGGGACGTACTGTTCAACTTTGGTCATACACCTACCATGGCATTGCCCAAATCGATCACTTCCCAAATAACTTTTCTTCACTAAAAATGTACAGCATGTCACCGTGGCAGGGGGAACATTAGCTCCTGCCTTGGGGAGGTGGACATAGACATATAATAAAAAGTCCACTGAGGGTTATAAGCCAAGTGCTAAATGAATGGCTTGGGTGAGAGGTGTGACAGGTGCTCAGAGAAGAGAGGGAGCGGGGCTGGGATGGTCAAGGTGTGGCTGGCCATGGGAGGAGGAGATTTGGGGCAGAAAGAGCCTCCATCGGTGTACTGGCCCCTTGCCCACTGCATTTCCCACGCAGTTTTAGGGCCCTCTCCACTGAAGACTGAGAGCCCTGCTAGGGCAGGGACCAGGTCCTGCTCCTTCATCTTTGTTCTCCCCCACAACCAGCTCACACGACCTGGTAGCCTGGCGCTTTGAGGGCAGGGTGTGGGTTGTTTTGGCGAGTTCCTACTTCTCTCCCAGACTGACCTTTCCTCCTCAGAGCTTCCTTTAACCTACTCTCAGGACAGGAAGGCAGAGCCAGCTGGAGTGAAACTGTGAAGCCAGCCAAGTCTGGGCTCCCCATCCCCAGTTGAGTTTCCCCTTGCCCTCCTGCCAGCTTTGTGCACCTTCCTTTTAGGAAGGTGTAGACAAGGGGCGCCTGGGTGGCTCAATCGTTAGGCGTCTGCCTTCAGCTTGGGTCATGATCTCAGGGTCCTGGGATCAAGCCCCATGTCGGGCTCCCTGCTCGGCGGGAAGCCTGCTTCTCCCTCTCCCACTCCCCCTGCTTGTGTTCCCTCTCTTGCTGTGTCTCTCTCTGTCAAATAAATAAAAATAAAAATCTTAAAAAAAAAAAAAAAAGGTGTAGACCAAGCATTGGACTTGGAACCAATGCCCAGCCACAGCTCACTGGCTGGCTCTGTGCCCCTGGAGGAGTTGTGGGCCTCAGTTTTCTCATCTGTAGACTAGGCTCATAATAGCCCTTCTTCCACAGGGTTGTTGGGGAGGTGAGACATCACAGGAGGAGCTCTGTAGACTGTCCAGTGCAGGTCACCGTGACCAGGCAGCCCAGCCCTGGGGGGGGTAGCCCTCCTGGCCACAGCACTTGTTGCTGCCTTGCAAAGGCCCACTGTCATGAAAAATGCCTACAGGACCGGCACACAACTATACTCTCAGGAATTCCAGCCACACCAGACTGGCCTCCTCAGGCCCCTCTCCCATAGGGAATTGACTGCAAGTTCCCTGGGGGCGGGGCCCTGTGTTAGGTGGTGGGGCATCCCTGTCAGGCCCACAAGCTTTTGAGGCACTTGCTGAACACTGCTGACCGCAGCCCTATCCAAGACCCCTCTCCTCCCGAACTCTGGAACTCACGCCCGAGAGTCGGGCCCCAGGGACTGCAAAGCACCTTGTCAACATATTTGCTGTGGTGTGTGTGTGTCCACACATCGGTTTTCACATCTGTGAAGTGGGGACAGCTTTGGTCCCAGACTCCTTTCTGCCTCCCAGGGATGATTTGAGAGAGAATGAGGTCATGTCTGGCAGGGCTGTGAGAGCCTCAGGGCAGCCTAAGATAAACACCAGACTGCCTGGAAGAGCAGACTGCAGCAAACCACCGCCCCACTTCCCCATTATCACTGGGAAAAGCTCTCCTCCCCTGTTCAGTGGACCTAATCACCCCTGTGGTGAGGAGCACCCAAGGCAACAGGAAAGCCCCTTGTAAACTGAGAAGGGCTGCACAGGCAGAGGGCCCTCAAGACAGTGTACCTGGCCCTTTCAGGAGTGCCGAGGGAAACAAGAGAAAGTAGACTTTCTCAAGGTGTCGGGTGGAAGACAGCACACACCACACTGAGACAGCGGAGCCCTAAGACCCACAGAAAGAGCTGAGGGAGGAAAGGGGGCTGAGGGAGAAGCATCCAAAACCAGAAACAAAGAAAGTTCTCTGTTAAAGTTTGCTCTGCATCCCCCATTCCCAGAGAGGGTGGAGCACCAGCTGGTGGGGGCGGCTGCACAGCATGGTGGACAAGAGTGGCCAAACTGGTAGATGTCCTAGTACAGTACACCCAGCACCCACAGGAGCAAAACCGGAGGCAGCCATTTCCGAGCATGTGGACGCACATGTGCAGCAAGGCAATGTAGGCAGCCTTGGAAACAGGGCCAGGGATGGGCAGGCAGGGTGGGGCAAGGGCGTCTGTGACTCTAGAGGCCTCTACGGAACAAGGAACGCCGTCCCCTTGCAAAGCAGGGTGGTGAGGAGGGCAATAGCCCAAGGTACAGGGAGGGGGAGGTTTGGTTGAGCCCGTGCCCTGCCACTAGCTTGCTGAATGACCTCGGGGGAGCCACATCTACCCTCTAGGCCATCTGTAAGATGCAGACATAGGTGGATCCTGAAACAGAAAAGGGACATGAGTGGGAAACTGGTAAAATCCCAGTGAACTCCGTTGCTTGGTTAATAGTGTACAGATAACGATTTCTTGTTTTGATTACTGTGTCGTCTTTGTGTAAGATGTTAACATGAGAGGAAGCAGGAGGAAGGGTAATCAGGAACTTTACCATATTTGTCACTTGACTGTAAATCTAAAATCATTTCAAAATCAAAAGTCTAAAAATGTACTTTATAAGAAAAGAGAGGGGCGCCTGGGTGGCTCAGCCAGTTAAGCATCTGCCTTCGGCTCAGGGTCCTGGGATGGAGCCCCTTGAGTCTGCTTCTCCCTCTCCCGCTGCCCCTCCCCCACGATTGTTCGCATGCGCGCACTCTCTCTCTCAAATAAATAAAATCTTTAAAAAAAAAAAAAAAAAGGAAAAAAGAAAAAGTTGGCACTGGTTGTCCACATGCTGGAGTCACTTCCAGCCCTGAGAGTTGCACTTTGGTGACATGTGGGCCAGTGAGAGGGGCGGGAACAGAAGGTGGACAGTGGGGGTGCTGGGAGAAGCAGAGGCCCCAAGGGCCGCGCCAGACGGGGGGTGAGCCAGCTGAGCTTCCACGAGGAAGAGGGCCCCCAGGTCCTCAGGGTCAGTCTCCACCTGGACTGGCTTCCTGCCCAGGGCCAGTCCTGGAACATTTGGTCCACCTACTGTTTACAAGAGTCAGACCCAATATGCCCTTGAGGGTGCTGTGGCCTGTCATGAGATGGGAGGCGGGGCAGAGAGGCCTGCGGAGAAGGGAGAGGCCCGATGACTGGGCCATCTCTGTCTTCCCACAGGAAGCACCCTGTGTTTGGGGTTCTAGGGTGACATTAGGACACAGCTATATAAGGTGAAATGTAGGTAGGGAAGAGTCACTCGGTGCCACTTGGAACATGATCAGCTATAAAGTGTCCTTGTTGGAAGGAGGACAGAGAGGACAGCAAATCCATCTACGAAGTCCATTAAGGGCTGAGACTAATGTAAAGGAGGCTCTAGTCAGGAAGCTTGGTTCAAACCCCAATTCTGCTCCTAAACCTGCTGTGACCTTGGGTGACTCACTTAACCCCCGCCTGCCTCTCTCCTCTTCTGTAAAATAAATATAAATAATGTCTACTTCAAAATCATGAAAAGTGAAATGAAAACAGTTGCAGAATAAAGTGTAGGAGCTCCTTGATTTTCTTTTTTCTCTATCCCATGAGAATGAAAATAACCTAGCTCTGCAAACAATGAAGAAACCGGATTTTTTTTTTTCTTTCAAACGAGGAATGGTTATGTGAATCACAGCAAAGCCACAGAAGGGAACACAAACAGCCATTTAAAATGGAGGTTAGGTAGTAACACAGAAAATGACCACAATACAGTGTTAAAAGGAAGAAACTGAGTACAAAACACACCGACTCAGTCGTGTATAAAACAGCTCCTTGGAGAAAATACGAGGAAATACACCAAAATGCTAATAGTGGTTGGGTTGGGGGTGAGTGGAGGTGAGCTTACAGGTGACTTTTTCCTATTTTCTAAATGTTCTGAAAGTATATTAGATTTATAATAAAAAAATTTTATTTCATAAAAAAAAAACATTCCCCAAACCACTGCAGGAACAGTTAGGTATCCCAAGAGCCAGAGCACGCTGGCGCTACGATGTACAAGGGCAGGCGGGCAGGCAGAGCCGCACAGAGGGCCCTGGGGGTGGGGAGGGGCTGTCAACCGTCTCAGGCAGCAAGCCAGTCCCTGGGGAGTGGGCCTGGGGCCAGCCGCGGGCACCGAGGGCAGATGGCTAGGCAAGAGCTCTTCCGGGCTGCACTCCCAGGGCTCCAGGTCAGGTCAGACGGGAGAGCTGGGGTAGCCTGCAGTTCCGGGCAGGCTGGGGCTCCCCGATCTCCGTAGACCCAGTGCGCACAGGAAGGCTGCCGTGCCGCTGAACCCCAGGGCTCTGCCTTGTCCGCTGTCTGCTGTCAGGAGCATCCTCAGGGCCCAGGCCCTGGAAGGTTCCATCTGCTCCTCAGTGGGAAGGAAGGATCCAGGCCCCAGGAAGAGGAGCAGGCCCGGGTGTTTGAGGTCCCTGTCATGGTGCCCCCCAACCCCACTCCACTTCCTTGTCTCCCCTCCCTCCCCAGTCCCTGCGGCCTGCCACTCCAGCAGCATTCACAAAACAACAGCCTTTAATGGAAATCATGAAGGAGGGAGGCGAGACGGGGGAGCAGGGACAGGGCATAGCCCATATCATTCCCTCCAGCCAAGCCTGGGCCGTCTCCTGATGTCCTCCCCCTCCCCACACTTCACTGTTGTCTGGCAAAAGGGCAGGATTTCAGCGGCCCCTTGTCCAGCATGCCTGCAGTGCGAAGGGCCACCCTGGAGCCCAGTGAAGATGTGGGTGGCGTAAGCAGAGCTTGGGCAACAGGTGGGACAGTAGGGGATGAGGCAGCAGAAGAAGGTGTTGCTTAAGCCAGAACGATTCCCGAGGTCCCCCAAGGAAGGGCTGTTTGTCTCTTGGGTTCAGGGGGCAGGGGTCGGAGGGAGTCATTCACCCCCAGTGTGGGCCTGGTACCGTGGAGAGGGATGCAGGGACGGAGCAGGTGCCAGCCTGTGAAGGGCAGCTGTGAGCTTCGATGGCACCGTGGTTGTTGGCTTTAGGGCCCAGGTTGGGGTGGGGAACAGGGTGCCCTGCCTGTGCCCAGAGTGGAGTTTGAGGGATTGATCAAAAGTCCCCAAGTGCCCCAGCGTCATTCTCTGCTGAAGCTGTGCTGGGACTGAGCACCTGATCTACCTGCCCCCCCAACCTACCCCAGACACTCGGGATCCCCCTATTCAGGCCTCCTGTAATGTTCCCACAGACACCTTCACTGCTTGGAACACAGCCCAGTCCATCTAAGAAGAAAGAGAAAGGACAAGGTGTTTACAATCACATTCCGGGGCTCTTCCCACCCAGAATGTCCCTCCTGGGCCCAGGCTGGCTGCTTGCTTGGCACAGAGTGGATTTGCTGTGCCATCCCAGCCACCCTCCTGGCCAGCGTCACACTCACCTGGGCATAAAGCAGGCGGCGGTCAGGGGACAGGCTGGGTCCCTGGTGGCAGAGCTGAGCAGAGAGGGCAGAGGTCTCCGGGGACAGGAAGTGCTGAGTGACACTCACGGTGCTTACCAGGCCCTGCACCTGTGCCAGAGAGGAGGTGGGCAGAGGGTCAGTGGAGACTCGGGCTCACGCATCCTCCCCCGCCCCTCTTGTCCCCGAGGTCTACGTCCCATAACAACCCCCACCCAGCTCTCAGAGAGCGGAGGCCCTGGATCCAGCACCAGGCACCTCAAAGGGCATGGCCAAAACCAGGCCAACGGGAGGCCGGAGAGGGCACAGGCAGGGTGAGCATCCGAGGACACGAAGCCCAGCAGGGCTAGGTGACTTCCAGACCACTCAGCCTCTCCTCCCCTTACAGTGGGGTGGGACTTCCTGCCCTGCCCAGCGCTCAGGGCACTGGGAGGGGTGAGGCCGGGGGTCCTCCGGAGCACTGTGGTGTCAGCTCTGGCCGCTTCGCATGGTCTGAGCGCTCTGCAAAGCCCTTGGCCTGCTGGGGAAGCACCTGGTGGGGAGCCCCGGCAGGCACCAGCACGGCCTCTCCAGGGGCCTGCAGCAGGGTCCAGCAGTTCACGCCCCACTCCTCCCGCAGGCGCCGCCGCAGCCCTGCATCCAGGTAGCAGTAGCCCGGGGTGCCAGGCTCCAGGTTGCCTGCTCCGGCCGGGCACACCTCAAGGAAGAGAAGGGGGAATGAGCAAGGGAGGGAAACGAGGAAAGGGCTGCAGCATGGGGCACAGACTTCCCAAAGGCCAGAGGCGCAAAGGCCAAGAGCTGAAGTGGTCAAGTCTTGAGGGCAGGTGGGGGCAGCCACAGGGGCGGGAGAAAAGGCTAGGTGGTGAGGGGCTGGGGCTGCTCAGGTCGGAGGTTTGGCTGGAAAGAGTGTAGAGGACAGGATTAGGGGCTCCAAGTCTGGGGGTCTAAACCCCCACTTTTCTTGGGGCTAGATGCCTTGAATAGCCTCTGTGTCCCTGGCCCTGGACCCCTTTCTCCAAAAACCCAGAAAGATTTCCTGCATGATCCCAACTCATAAACTGTCTATACCAGGAGCTCTTAACCTGGAGTCCCATGAATGTCCTGCATTGGGTGCTAAATTGTAGGCCACTAGATAGCTCGATGTCCCTGGGGAGACCATCTGCAGCATCAATCAGATTAATCTAAGATCCCAGATCCAGGAAAGGCCACACAGAGGCTTTGATGCACCGTGGATGTACAGGCTTGCCTGCCAGGCTGAGGCCTCTGAAGCAAGCATAGCTATGGGGGAGGGGAGGGGCCTTCATCAGCCCAACCAGAGTGGGGAGCTCCTTGGGCAGACAGGGATTCATGGGAGCCAGAGAAGATGCCCAGGGAGTACCTGCAGAGGTGAATGCCAGCATCATGCTCCACCTGGCCACCAGCCAAACCCACCCCTTCAGTAGGACCTCAGCAATTGTCCCTGGGCTTAGGACTCAGGGTTCTAAGACTGGGCCATGGGGAAAGGGGAGGCTGGTGAGCCAGCCTGGAAGCTAGGGAGGCCCCAGGCAGGTGCCAAGGCTCTTTTGCCCTCAGAATCCATCCTGGAGCTAGATCTGTGTTTCCCAGGCCACCCAGTGAGAATATGCCCCTCCAACCTTCTCCGTGAATCATCAGGTTTGGCCATATGAGACTGCCTAGAGCGACCACACCCAGACTAGATGAGGCCATCTGTGTATGAAGGTGTGCTTCTGTCTGCTTCCTTCGGCGTGTCCCAGCGTCTGTGTGCACATTTACGGGTCTCTGTGTGTTTGTCAGTGTGTCTGTAGATACGCATGCCTGTGGGCAGGACGGTGTGGTGGACAGCCATGTTAACACCTGCATGTCTGTGTGTGTGTGTGTGTGTGTGGTGTGTGTTTAGCAGGGGTGACACTTGGAGGATGGCTTTTTCCCAGGACAATCAGGGTTCAGCCGGACTTTAGAACCCCTGGGCCTGCCCTAACCTTAACACTGGCCTTCCACCTCCCCGGCCCCCTGGAGCTTCCTGCCTCCTGCTTATCCCCTCATCTCCTCCTTCCCTGCCCCTTACCTTGCTCCAGTCTTTCCCACCCACCATGCTGCCTCCTTCAGCCCTCCCTTGCTAGCACCCCAAAGAGCACCTCCTCATAAGATGTAGATCACGGGGGCGGGGGGCTACAGGAGGGCATCTCAGATGGGCTTCCCTTCGCCTTCTGCCACCTGGAGCCCTTGCAGGGGAGGCTGTCTGCCCCCAGGAGAAACAAGGCTATGACCTAGTCTCAGGTTTCAGCTCTACCACTCAGCTTCAGTTTACTCATCTGCAAAATGGGAAAGCAGCAGTGCCTGCCACACAGGGTGGTTGTGACAATTAACCGAGATCATGTACCCAAAGCCCTTACACAGTGCCTAGCCTGCAAAAGCTCCTGCTCTCGTTTCATCTCTCGGTCCCTGCTCACTCCCTGCTCTTTCTGTGTGCCCCACCACGCAACTCATAAGGTCCCAACCTGCCTCCTCTGAGTGAGTCAAGGCTGTCCAGCTCACCTGGGGGGTGGGGAGAGTGAGCACATGGGGCACGCACAACAGGGAGAGCTTCAGGGGCCTGGGAGCCCCCACTTCTAGGGAGCATGAGGGCAGCTCAGGGGAAGGGGAGGGCTCCCAGCTCCTTCCTCACCATCTGGAGAAAGCGGCGGATGCGCTGAGCGTCCTGTGCTCGGAACACGTGCCAGACAGTGCTGACCTGGCTGCCTGGAGACCAGAGCCCCTCCCCATCCAGGCCTGAGAGGAAGTCTGTGGAACAAAAACAGCTCAGGGGGGCCCGGGGTTGGTGGGGGGAGAAACAGCATGTCGAAATTTGCAGACTGTCTGACCCCTGCCTCTGGCCCAGGACCCACCTTTCTGTGCCCGGTGCCAGGTAGGCGGCGGGGTCTCAGCGCGTACCAGGACGCTGACCAGGTCGGTCACCTCCACACAGAGGTTCTTGGTCCCCAGGTGCCCACGGTGTGGGCTCACACCTGCACGGAAGCAGAGGAGAGACCAGCAGGTCACGGGCCCCAGGACTTTGGCACAGACACGCCTGTGCCCAGAGGTAATAGGCATGGGATCAGGGGCTAGGCAGGAGTGGTGTGGGCACTCACCATAGGCTGCCCACAGCTGGGGCTCCAGTGGACGCAGGGCGGGGCCAGGTGGGAGGTAGGAAGCCAAGTTGAGTTTCCCGTGACGGGCACAGTACTCGGGGAGGGGCAGGCTGGCAGCCAGGTTCTCCATCCTGGAGGGGGCAGGGTCATGCCCAGCAGACTCAACCCAGGCACCCGAGATCCCCTCAAAGCCCACCACTACTGGGGTCACTCCCAGAGGCAAGAGGGTCATGGGGTGGGGGGCAAGGGGCTGGTCAGAGGCTAGGCAGGTACCATGCTACTATACACACCTGCTGGTGTCCTTGTCCCCCAGAGCTCTGTGCAGCAGGAGGACGGAGCCCTCGTCTGACTTTGGGCGAACTAGGGGAGGAGACATGCCATTGGCCCGGGGGAAGAACATCCTTGCCCAGAGGACTCGGGCCCCGTGGCAGCAAGAGGGTCTAGTGTCTGCCCTGGGCTCTGCTTCCAGCAAACCCCCCCTAGGGTCACCATGGGACTTTGCTGCCACCTGGCTCAGCCTCCCAACTCCCCCTGCCCCACAACAGGGACACTTACTTTCAGGCCGGGAGAATCCCTCCCAGAACGTTGCACTGTGGAGGCTTGTGGGCTGGGGAGGCCCGAGGGGGGTCAGTGCCTGCACCTGGCCTCCAAGTGCCCCAAGAGCTTCCGTCCCCCACAGGTTGCCTCGCAATGTCCTCTGAATCCCCGACACCAACACGGGCTGCAGTGAGGAAAGGCAGAGGGATGCAGGGGGAACGACCAGACGGGCAGCCCCCTTGGCCAGGCCGGGGCATGTTGTAGGGGACACGAGACCCACGTGGGGACCAACCCTGCTGCCCACTCTGGGTGATGGGCCAGGTCTGCCTGGGCCTGGGATGAAGGCTCTGAGGGTAAGCGAGGCCGGGAGAACTGGGAGTCAGGAGGCAAGGAGCCTCACCTGGCCCTGCCTCCAGTGCTCCTGGAAGACATGGAAGCCTCTCTGAGGCCTGGGCTCCTGCAGCCACAGCAGAGCTCCGGGAGGAGGCAGCAGGGGCCGCACTGGCGAGAGGGGCAGGCCCAGGCCTTTGCGCAGTCCTGGCCCGGCCCGCAGCCCCGGCCCTAGGGCTTTCTCCTGGATCTTCCTTTCCACCACCTGCGCGATGATGCTGTCCAGGATGTTGGTGATGCGGTCATCCTGTGTGGACGGAAGGCCAGAGGGGCAGGATGACTCAGGACCTGCCTTACTCCACAGGGAGGGCCAGCCCAGCCTGTGTCCCCAGGGTCCCCAGGCCTCCCTCTGTGCCCTTGCTCACGCTGGGCAGGGCAGGAGTGACCGGGGCAAAGGCCATGTGTATCCGCTCGTGCCCCAAGCAGAGTTTGACAGCAGTGGAGGCCAGCAGTTCACAGAGAGAGGGACAAGGTAGGGGCCCTCGGCCGGCACGGTCCTCTGCTGGGGTCTCGGTGGAGTCCGGGGTCTCTGGCAGGGAGGAAAACGGTGAGGGGCTTCCCCTTTCTCTCGAGGTTCCACTGCCCACAGGCTCTGCCCTCATGTCCTGGCCAAGTCTCTCTCCTCACTGGCCCCTGCCCGGCTCAGCTGCTCTGGAGGCACTCACCTCCCACCGCCTGCCGGCAGCTTCCCAAACCTCTCCGGAGGAGGAGGGGCTTATGATGGGGGTCTGACTGCAGAGGGGTGAGGGGACTTGCCCTAGATTTTATTTAGATTTATTTCCTCAGGAATGATTTGAGAAGAGTGATGGAGACTATGGGGGCACAGGATGGCTAAAGTCATTCCAATCTGTCCTGGGGACGCCAACCCCGCGGCCCAACCTCCCTGCACAGTCTGAGCAAGGTCCAGGGGAGCTACTCACCCTCCTTGATGTCCTTGGTCCTGTTGGTGTCCCCGTTGCAAGAAGACTGTGGAACTGGGGGAGTTTTCTCTGTCGGCTCCTTCTGTTAAACCCATCCACCACCCCCCAACCCAACCAGAGATTTAAAAGCGGCAAACATAGCTCAATCCAATTCAACCCACAAGTATTAACAACAGACTAGAAAATTGTGTTTAGAGGGAGCCGAATGTTATGTGATATAACATTAGGTGGGAAAAAGTTGCTCACGGAATTCCACACACAGTATTGATCTAAAATGTACAAAAATAGGCTGACTAAATATATAGACAAGGGACTGGAAAGAAAGATGTCAAAATGATAACAGTGGCATTATAGCCTATTGCTGTATTCTTCCTTATACTTGTTTGTATTTTCCATAATGGGCACGTACCAGTGTCTGGCACACAAAATGCATTCAATAAACTATTTCTTGAATGAATCATTTTTATAATAAAAGCATGAACTTTATAAAACCTTTGTAAAATGCATACTGAGTGCCTGCCATATGTTAAGAGCAGGACATAGAGAGAAGGTGGGCCCATACTCCACCCGCAGGAGCCCGTGCCTGGGGAGTGGAGAGACAGGGCCCGCCAGCGAGCAGCTCCAGCATGATGGAGCAAGTGCTAAGCTGGAACACGCACAGAGTGGCAGGAGCTCTGAGCAAACAGAGAGGGAGGTGGGGCCGATGCTAGAGCTCAATCCATGGATCCTGATCCCCAGAGGAGAGGGAGAAATAGCTTGATTTTACCCAGCGTCCATGTCCTTCATCCCCATCAAAAGACAAGGGCCAAACCCTGCCAGGAATTTCCAGACACACTGCCCAATCTTGGGGCCCTCACCAGCTAGTGCTGCCCAGCTTCTTACCTGCTGGCCCCCATCCCCAGAGGCCCACACTCGGGCATCAGCTTGGCAGGGGCAGTGACCCCGGATGTCAAACTTGACCCAAACCTCGTGCATGGCGGTGCTCAATTCTGCCAAGGCTGTGAGTGGGGAGGGAAGATGGAGTTTGGTAGTGAGTGTGGACAGAAGGCCATCCCTGTGCTGCTTGGCCTCACCAAGGAGGGGGGCATGGGATTGGGCTGAGCCACATCCAGATAGGACCTGCCCTCTACACACCCCACCCCTCCAAGATGGCTCACCCTGGCTAGAAACGAACTGGGTGAGCATCAGGGAACTGGCAGTATGCCCGGCCTCTTGGGGACACTCCTCCGTGGACTCCTCCTGAGGGCCTGTGAGGTAGGAAGAAAGAAGCTGCAGGTCAGGAAACCAAGGTAACCACAGCTTAAGGTCAGAGAAGAAGCACAAGGGCATGATATCTAAATCAAGGGACTCGACAATCCATAAATCCATAAAACATGGGCTTCTGGGACACTTGGGTTCAAGAATAACATAGGATTCTTTGCTTGCAGAACGCAGAGACTTTAAAATGCTGACATACATTGCCAGACTCCAAGATGATCTTGTAGAATACAGTGTTCTCAAACATTTCTGACCCTGGAACTCTTTTTGGCTACCTCTACTGGAACACTGGGAAATTTTAAGCCCTCAGGTGACTGAGCGGAGCCAAGGGAGAAGCTGAGAACCATGAAAAGAGTAAGACTTGGGATCATAAGGTCTGAGTCTAAATCCTGGACCCAACATCTACTAGCTGTGTGACCTTGAACAAATCACTTAACCTCTCTGAGTTTTTCTTAACTGGAAAATGGAGGCAATATACCCACCTCACAGTGTTGTAAGGTTTAAAAAGGTGCAAGCTGAGCAAAGTGGGAGGCATAGAGTAGGCACTCGACTTCTTTTAAGGGTGGGCAAGGACACAGGCGTGGCCCTCTGATCTGGGGAGAGGGAAAATTCTGCTCTAAGGGGCATTGAGCTGTGGTGGCTGAGGCTGGAGCTGGGGGCGGAGGGTTTCTTGGGGAAAGGCAGCCCAGAAATGGCCACAAACCTTAGAGCCGCCCTTTCGAGGCCCCCGTCCCTGCCCTCCCGTCCTCAGCCCCCAGCTCCTTTCCTACCTGCTTTGTCCCTGGCCCTCCTAGCACCCGCCATGCGACCACAGGCCACACACAGCCGGTGGCTACAGTGGGGGCATTTCCAGTGGGTGTTGAAGAGTCCACGGTGGCAGCGGCTGCAGCAGCGTGGAACGCCTGGGTTGTCTTCTGTCCTGGCGGGCCCCTGGCCTGTTGACCACGGGAGAGAACAGGGTCAGAGGAGGCTCAAGCCACAGGTCCCTTCTGAGGACCTCCAGGCAGGGATGGAGTGGAGCAGGAGCGGTTTCCGCTGTGGGGCCACCCTGGAAGGGAGACAGGCCCCTGACAAACAGGCTCTGTAAAGAACCTCCCCATAGTACTGTCTTCAGAACACCCTCCCAGGGACAGTACAGGCCTCACCTCTCCAGTTCGTGCCCCAGGGATTTCCCCATCGGCCCTAAATTACAAATCCACACCATTTCCAGCACAGTCCTCCACCCACCTCCCTCCGTCCCGAGGTGCTGTCCCTTCAGGGGACTCTGTATACCAGAAGAGGGAACCTTAGGAGGCCACTCCTTCCCTCACCCACACTTTCTGACTAAGCCCTCCTCGGTCAGTGGGAGGACGCCAGTGAGCATGCGTTCATTTACTCATGCTACAAACACCTTGCCCTGTGTGGGGCTGAGTGCTGGGGACTCAGAGCTGGTCAGGGCTCAGAGCTGCCCTCCCAGTGCTCACATTCCAAGAGGGGAGATGGGCCCATAAACATGGCAGTGATCATGACACCACAGGGTGGGTGCTGGAGTAGGAGAATGGGGTAGAAGGACAAGGGTGGGGGTAGTGGGGGCAGCAACACAAATGGGCCCCAAGTGATGAGTAAGTGTTCATTCATCGGGGAGAAAGGGAGGAGAAGGGCATTCCAGACAGAAGGAACAGAGAGTGCCAAGGCCCGAGGGGATGGACAAGCTGGGGTGAGCCGGGGAGGACGGGCCACCGGGTGATGTGGAGTGCTGGGAATCCAGGCTGGGGGAGCGGTAGGCTAGACCAGCGCGGGGGGGGGGGGGCTGGACTCTCTGGGACAAGAGGGAGCCACCAATGGGCCCCTACCCAGCTTGTAACCCTACTGCAGGGGTGTGTACACATTTTCAAATGCACACATGGGGTTGTGGGAGGGCCTAGGAGGGAGAGCCTGAAACCAGAGGGACCCGCTGAATGGCTGGCATCCCACCAGTCTTTTTGCAACGGCCCAGACCCTACTAGCTGAGACTGGGGCCAGCAGTGCTGGAATCACAGCATGACAGAGGGTCCAGATGCAAGGGCCTATGAATCTCAAACCGCAGGGAGGGCCCCCACTTTCCGATGCCTTTGAAGACACTTGGCACCCTGTTTTGTTTCCCCAGCAAACCCAGAAACTCTTAAGCAGCTGGACTGGACCAGGTTTCACACCCTCCCAACATCCCTCGCCCCGGCAAGAGACGTCAGAACCCATGTCGACTAGGAGCCTAAGCCAGGAACAAGGGCAAAGCAGGCAGGAGTTCTCCTGAGTTGGTATCAGGATGGACAGTGCTAATGGGAGGGACGGGCCCCGGGAGGGAGGGGCCCACACCCTGCAGGCCCCATGCTCCGCGTCAAAGCACTGTGACCACAAGATCCAGCCTTCCCCGGCTCCTGCCTGCGCCGTGGGTCCTGCTCACCTTCCCGCTGCGCCCAGGCCAGGGCTTCGCGCTCCCTCCGCAGCAGGCGGCATAGTCGGTCCCCCAAACCACTTAGCAGATGCTTGGCAAGGCCCTTGCTGAGCCGGGCCTCGGGGCCAGACCCTCCTCCCTCCTCCGAGCCAGCTGCTGAGTCTTCGTCCTGCGGCTGCTCCCCTCCCAGAGGCAATCTGGAGACAGGGCACAGGAAGGTAAGGAGGGAGCCCCGACTGGAAGGGTGCTGGGGGCACCCAGGGGAAACGGGCTCACCTCGGCACTTGCTGGGAGTGGCGGGCCAGCCCTCCCGCCTCTCCAGCTGCATGGGTACAGCTTTGGCATGGAGCCATGCCTGCCAGGGGAGCCGAACAAGATGTATCCTGAAGCCCTGGGTCCTGGAGGCTGGCCCTACCATCTTGGGGTCCTGAGGAGACAATGAAGCTGGTCAGGAGTCCGGGCTTCCCGAGCTTACGTGAACCCCAGGCCCTACCTTTAACCCCCAGCCCGCCCACATGCAGAGCCAGCCCAGCCCCTAGGCCCCGGTCTACTAAGCCTGATTTGGAGCTAGTGAAAGTGACCTAGGCAGCCAGAAACTTCACAGAATGGGCTGGGCGGAGAGCCTGGGAGAGCCCTGACCAGGCCTGATGGCTGAGAGGAGAGGTCCACTGTGCATGGCTGGAGCAGCTGGGACGATCATCCTGCCCCACATGCAAGATCCAGTCAGTGTAGACGTCATTTTATCTTTTTTTTTTTTTTTTTTTTTTAAGTAAGCTCTATGCCCCAACACGGGGCTTGAACTCACAACCGGGAGATCAAGAGTTGCATGCTCCACTGACTGAGCCAGCCAGGCGCCCCTCAGTCAGTGCAGACTTTGGATAGCTCCGCAGTGGGCTTGGTGATCCCACTGGCCTCCTGTCTGCGTGAGGAGACAATCCGGGCATGGGATGGAGGGTGCCGGAAGGTGAGAAGGCTGATAGTTTCAACACACGCTACAGGTGCAGTGACCCAAGAAGGGAGAGGGGCCAACAGCTTCCCAGCCCCGGCAGAGGCCTGCGAGAGCATGGACAGACCCACGCCAGGTGCAGGGGTGCCTGGGTGAGGCCACTGAGAGCTTCGATCCAGGCCCAGTGGTCCAGGAGGCTAAGAAACTGAAGTGACACTGAAGAGCTGAGACTGGGGCCAGCAGTGCTGGAATCACAGCGTGACAGAGGGTCCAGGATGCACCCAAAGTCCTACTACTGGCCAAGTCCAAACTGAGTCTCCATGATCCGGCCGGCCAAGGGAGGAGTTGTTCGTTCCTGGGGCGGGACACGGGGTCCTTCAGGAGGGGCGGTGCCCCAGACGGGGCTATGTGGCACAATCACAAAGATGAATGTTTACTGAGTGTTTACTCAATACAGTGCCACATATTCTTCAAAGCCCTTTATGTGAATTATGCCATTTCATCTTGCAGCGGTCTTTATGAGGTGGATGCCATCTTTATCCCCATTTTATAGATGAAGAAACTGAGGCCCAGAGAGGTGAAGTAACTAGCCCAGGGTCACAAAGCACCAGGCAGCAAAGTTCGGACCCAGGCACTCCGACTCCAGAGCCCATGCTCTGAACCGTGTTGTGACACTGCCACTGACACATGACAGCTTGGGACAAGGGCTGACCTTGTCAGGGGAGACAGAAGGAATAAGAAGCCACTTGCAGGCAGGCTCTGGCCTGTAGATGCTAAGGAACTCCCAGAGAACCATCACACCCGGGTGGGAAACCAGACCACTTGTGTGATCCACTCGTAAAGGGCCTAACGACCCCACCTCCCTACAGAGCCCCAGTCCTGGCTGCCCCCTCCCAGGTAGGGCCCCCTGCACCCTTACCTCTGTGGTCATCATGCTGCACGGCCTCTGCCTTGTTCCCAAATGATGAGTCCAGCATCTCCTGCCGACCTCTGGCCCCCTGCCCCACACTGCCTGGGAAAGGGTTGGGAGGGCGCTTGGCAGCTGGGCTTCCACCCGCTCCCTGGACCTCAGGGCTGCTTGCCCTCTTGAGGGCCTGCAGCTGGGCAGAAGGGCTCTCCTCGTCCCCAGGGCAACCACCTGGACACCCAAACTGCTCAGAGTGTCGTGTGAGCCATGTCTTCTTTAGCTTGGTGTGATGGCTGGGTGGGCAGGCCCTGGGACCAGAGGCCTTGTTCACTTCCTCGTTGGATTCACTGGGCCCGATGGTGCCCCCCTCCTGGCACTTCCCACAGGGGCCAAGACCTCCATCTCTAGCAGGTGGGTGAGATGAGCAACAGCCTCCCTGGGTGGTAGGAGGCCCAGGAGAGGGGCACCTTGATGTGGCTGATGGCCCCAGATGGTACCCAAGGCTCCCACCCCCCGGTAGAGTCCAGACGTTGCCAAGAGTATGAACCAGGCCCGGGGGGCACGGGGGCCAGGGGGTCCGGGGAACAGAGTCCGGATGCCCCAGGAGGAACGGGCAAAGGTTCTGACGCCTGCCGACTCCTGCCTCTCCATCTCTCTGGTGGAATGAAGGACGCTCCACTTCCCCAGTTCTCTGGAGATGCCCACCAGAGGCTAAGCCTAACAACCCAGGTTCCGTGGTTGCCAATGGTTCCTTTGCCAGCCTGAGGATGCTTGGATCCTTGTGGTAAAAGCCCTAAAGAGAGGAGAAGGGGTAGAGCTCGTGCTGACTTTGATCCCCAGTGTTTCAAAGGATGAGCAGAACTGCCGACCAGCAGGTGTGCGCCTGTGTGGCCTTAAGGGTCAGGAAAACACTGAAGAACTCAATCCTGGTTTGCAGACCCAGCTCCCTAAGTGCCTCCCCACTGCCCAGCTTACCCCCTCCCCCCTCCCTCCCTGGGATTTCTCAGACCTCTGCACAAATCCAGCAACTAAAGGGTTAGTGCTTGCCACCACCAAAGGGCCTCTGAGGATCTATTCAGATTGTTTGATGACAAATATCATACTGATCTTAAAATAGTTTAAATCTTATTCCTGGGCACGGGGGTGGGTTGCCGGGGGGTGGGGGTGGGAGGACAGGTGCCACAGACACAGGCCATGGGGACACCTGCACATCCCACTCCCAGAGAGAGGGCCTTGTCTGCTCCCCGACCCCAACCCCAAGATGAGACTAGTGTTCAGAGGCCTTGGGCCTTGTTCCCAGGGCCTTGTTCTGAGTGGACAATGAGTGAGTCAGTCCCTGAAATGGCCCAAAGTCAGGGAAGGCTCAGTGAGATGGAACGGCTCAGAGGAGGAATTGCTTGGGGCTGACTCTGTCTGAGCTGACAGGCTCCTCTACTAGGGTGCTGTCTTATGTTTTCGTCAGAACGGAAGAGCAGAGTGCTGTGGCCAGGCAGGGCCGCTCGGGAACACTGATAGGCCTAAGCCCCAGGTACCCGCTCTGCTCCAACACTCACCTTGCTGCCTAAGCCGAAGGCAGAGGGCACTTTGGGCTGCCCCCCTGAGTATGCCCAGGGGTGTGGGGCCAGGGGCCAGTCACATGGACGCTCTGGAGGCAGGCTGGACACTAGGTAGGGTGGCAAGCAGGTGGGCACCCAGAAGGGAGCTTGCTCGAGGATCTTGGTCTCCAGAAGGAAGGGGCAGTGCAAGGGCCGGAAGGCCACAGGGTCACTCTTGGGATGGCCACCATTATGCTCAGGAATCAGGGGGCCATAGCGAGGCGGGCACGCTGAGCCACAGAGTGCCAATGGGTGGGCAAGCATTGCCTCCTTCCAGCGCAGCCCCTCCTTGCTGCCCAGCCAGTTGGCCTTCCTCTCCCCATTGCGGGGGCCTTCTCCCTCCACCTGTGGGAGCGTGTCCTTGGGGCTCTGGGGAATGCCAGGGGGAAACCAGGAGTCTGGGGTGCTTAGGACACCCCTCCAAAAGGGAGCAGGCTCTCCCAGGCACAGTGCGCCCCGGCGCAGACCATCTTGAGGCAGGGTATCCGGCTCCTGTCCCAGGATGCCCTTCTCAGGGGCTGTCTTCTCCCAGGCTGGGGTGTCCTTCAGGAAGCTGGGCATACTCTCCATCACTCTCCTGCCCTCATGGGGCTCTCCCAGAGGGGGTCCCTGGAGCATAACCAACAAAGCATGAGCTTCTTAGGCACGTGCCCAAGCACCGTACCGCCTGGGGCAGAGCTGGGCACCGCCCTGGCAACACCAAGGCAGCTCAAACCAGTAAGGCAAGTGCCAACCTACAGCTAGGCTCCACGCTGCCTGCCCACATGCAACTCGAAGGACCTGCCTGGGTGGGATGCTCAAGTGTGGGGAGGTCAGCCCTTGCCCCAAATGCCCAAGCCCACCTGGGCCAGAGCCCCTCAGCAGAGACCACCATTTCTAGGATGACATGTCCTTGCATTTGCTGAGCCTGGACCGTGGGCACGAGCCACAGGGCAGGACAAGGGGCGAGAACCCAAAAGATGAGGTCGGTGGAAGGTACTGCACTAGGGGACAAGAAGACAGGGTCCTGGCTTTGACTCAGCACCTGCTATGTGACCTTGCGCAAGTCATATCACTCCTCTGGGCCTCAGTGTGCCCTTGTGTAAAATCGGGTTTGGAAATTAGCAGTCTCAGAGGCCTCTTTCCACATTGCAGTCTGTGGGACTGGGGGTGGTGCTTGCCTACCGCCACCCCTCAGCCCCACTCAAGCTTGTAGGGGTGCAGGCAGGGTGGGCTGGAGTCACTGGGGAGAGCCGCCAGGCAGGGCTGCTGGCTGGTATCTCTCCCTACACTTGGGCAGTCCCTGGTGTGTCTCTTCCCAGCTCTCTGTGGTTTCTTGGCTTTGGAAGCAGAGTCCCAGGACAACTGCTGGGGGCTGAGATCTCCACCGCAGCCCCCAAGGGAAGGAGTGAGCCGGCACAGGAGAGAGGGATTAAGAGGCCTCAGCCGGGACGGGTCAAGCTGCTCGAGTCCAGCAGGCAGTGCCAGGGCCGCCGGCGGCCGCTGGTAACTGCAGCCTGGCAGGGGGAGGGAAGGAGGCGGGGAAAGCGGGCTGGGCCCCAGAGAGAGGCAAAGGAGGGAAAATTGAACGTGCGTGCAAAGGACCAGGGTGACAGGTGGCACCGGGGCCGCAGCGCTCCCCCAGCGCGGCCCCCTCGGCGGGCTGGATGAAGCCCCAGGAGAGAAGGGAGGTAGCCCAGGGAGCCGTGACAGAGGTCGCTCGGGTTTTCTGGGGCCACGGCTCCGTCGTGGTCCAGCCCCGTCGGGCATCCTAACTTTCAGACCTGTGGCGCCGCCCGGAGAAGCACAGGGAACTAACTCACTCGCTGCCGGCGGCCCGCGCTCGGCTCAGAAATGCCCCGCTACGAATGTCCCCAGAAGGCCCGCCCCTGGCGCCCCCTCTCGGCGCTTACCTGGGCTTCGCGGGCCGGGCGCGGCGCGGGCGGCGGCGGTCGTCGTGGCCGGCGCCGCGCGCCCGCTCCCCATGGGCCGGCTCCGGGGCCTCCCGGCCGGCGAGCGAGGACGCGTTCTCCCGCTCTCTGCTCAGCGCGCTCGCGTTCTCTTTCCCCCGGGGCGGCGGGGGCGCTCTAGGGCCGCAGGTTGGAGGGGTCGGATTCCGGGATCTGCAGGATGCGGCACACGGCGCGGATCGGCCGCACCAGCTTCTGGGCCGAGGCCGTGGGTTGCGCCATGGGACGCCGAGACTCCGTGCTGCGCCGCGGGGAGGGCCGGGCCGGGGCTAGGGAGCGGGTGCCCCCGGAGGGAGAGTGGGAGCCGGGCCGGGGGGAACGTGCGCCCCGGGTCGGAGATGGCCGAGTAGGGGTGGGGGGAAAGGCCGAGAGGCCGGGGGAGGGGATCGTGCCTGGAAGTGGGGGCCGATCCCGGGTCCCAGGAGAGAGGCACCGGCGAGGGCGCAGCACGGCGCAGAGCGGCTAATGGAGGGAGAGCGCGGCGGACAGCGCAGCAGGACCTCTCATCGCCATCGCCAGACGCGCAACTGAGAGTGGGGAAGCTGCTCCGCCGGTTTCCTCCTCCAGCACCCTGCGGGAAACAGGAGCCCGTGATTCGGCGGCCCCGCCTGGGCCTGCCCCCTCCCGGGCCCCGGGGGCTTCCGCCAACGCCCCGGCGATGCCACCGGCTGCGCACGGGGAGAATGAGCCCTTTGTTCCCCCCTCCCCCCCGCGGCACCCGGGCGCCTGCCGAGAGAGGCTCCCCCGGGGCAGCGTGCCAGCTTCCCAGCCGCCCCACCCTCCCGTGGGCCCGGCCCCGGAGCCTGGCAGGCGGGCAGCACCCCCACTATAGGTGCCAAGACCGGGAACTGGAGCAAAGGGCGGGAGGGGCCGGACCAGGCCACGGTGGGGCGGGGTGCCCCCCGGGGTGCTAGGGCGGGGCGGCTGGGGGGGAGCAGTGCCAGAGCTGGCAGGGGCAGTCGGGTTCTCACGGGTCAGTGATGGGCGCCTGACCCACGCCAGCCGACCCTGTGCCTCCCGGAACACTTGCTCGTGGTCCTTCAGCTCTGGCACATGGCAACCCCCCCCCCCCCGCCCCCGGCCCATGTCTGCCCTGCCTCATCCTGACCTGGCCAGGCTGCTCTTCACCATTCTTGACTCAAGCCCCCTTCCGGGGCCCAACAGCCGGCACCGGGTCCTGCCTTAGCAGTTCTGGGGAGACCTAGGCTCTAGTCTGTCCCTACTCTAAGGGCCTAGGTTTCAGCAAGTGTCCAGAGAGGAGGTGGGCCCAGATGAGGCCGGACACCTGCTCCAGCCTGGCATTCTGGGGGTCTGCCCCATCCCAATTCCTAGTGCTTCCAGGCCCAGCACTGGAGAGGAGCCCATGGGAGTGGCTCCTGGGAGGGAGCAGAGAGGAGGAGAGGAAATGGGAAAGCAGGGCACCCTCCACCCGAGGAAGCATCCCGGCTCCTCTGCGGGGGTGGTTCCAGAGCACAGACACAAACAGACAGATTCAAACACACACAGACAGATTCAGACACACATAGAAACCCACACGCCCAGCGGGCGCTTCCCTTCCCTGCAGGCCCCCACCTCCCACCCCACAACTCCCCTTCCTCCCTATGGAAGCCATCCTTGGCCTGCTTTCACCCAGCCTGGGACAGAGGCAGTACCATCCCACCCACCACCATCCCATCGAAGGGATGAGTTCTCCGATGCCTCCAGCCTGGTCCCAAGTCACCACCCCTCTGCCATCCCTGGAGAGGGGAGCCAGGAAGAGCTGGGAGGGAGCCTTCTCCCAAGAGACTGAAAGAGAGGCAGGAATCCTTTTACCAGCTGAGGAGAAGAGGGGGCTCAAGAGAAGGAGGCCCGAAGGGGCGCCGGGCAGGACTTGGCTCATGTCTGCACCTACTCGCTCAGCCCCTCCGCCTCCCCCCACAGGCCGCGTCTGTGGCAGGGCAGGCTGGTAGGGGCTGTTTACATGACTGAGTTATTAACACTGCCTTCCTCCCCCAGCTCCCCTGAGGGGTGGCCTGGACCTCAGTGTGCCAGGGGAAATGATCATGGAGGGTCTAATGTAGACTGCAATGCCAAGGTCCCAGGCCCCAGCCCCACCCCCCCAACGAGGCTGCAGGGTGCAGATAGGGAGCTGGGGTGTGCCTGTGGTCCCCATCTGTGTCCTCTGGCAGCTGAAGCTTGTGGGAGAGTCTTGGGGGAGATTCCTTCAGCTTAAGGCCTAGAAGAGGCTGGGTAGGGCAGGGTGGGAGCCTGGGTTGTCCTGGGCGCTGAGGGCCTGTCACTGTCATCCTCAAGGAGATGGGGACTGTGCCAGGGAAGCAGGACAGACATCTCCCCACATCTCACCCCCAGCTGCCATGTCTGCTTTGTCAGGTCACAGTCTCTGGACAGGAACAGGACTCTCAGGACAGGCTCCTGAAATGCCCAGGGGGCCATGGGGGGTTGGGGGAGAAGGCCCTTTCCACCCTCACCGGCTCCCCATCCTGCTTCACAGCCCATGCCACGGGCCCACAGAGCCCTTGTAGCTGGCTGTTCTGTGCCTGAGGACGCAGCAGATCGAAGGAGACGCAAGAGATACAAACACAGAAGGGAAACCACACACGGGTGGACGCAATGCTGGATTCATGGACAAAGGCAAGCTGACCAGCACCCCCAGAAGCGCCTGGGCCCACCCTGGGCTCACACCGACCCCTCACCCATGCATGCACACACACACACACACTGATACACACACACACTGATACCCACATTCATGCTGACAAGCGCAGCAGCACTCGCGAGCCAGCTACCCTCACGCTGTCCCCAGAGCCCCTTACCTGGGCAAGCACAGTGCCCCTCGGGTGGACAGCCCCCTGCCCTGGGGAGGGCAGCAGGCGGGGGCGGGGGAAGGAGCCCCGGAGAGTCAGGCCAAGCTGCCACTAATCCGGGCGGGGAGGGGGGGGCACCCACGTCAGAGCGGGGACTGCCGGGTGGAGGGCATCTGAGGACATCCCCTCCCACACACGCGGCCGTCTGGGCACCTAGCCCTACTTCCCCAGCCCCTCCATCCTTCAGACAGCTGAGGCTGGCCTCCCCCCCCCGCCCCCCACCCTTGTGGCAACGTCTGGACGGGCGGGGGAGGGGGGGAGGGGGGAGGGGGAATACCGGGGAGAATTCTCCCAGGACCTGGGGTAAGGGGGAGAGGAAGGGAAGTGTTGGAGATGCTTTTGGAGCCAGGAGGAAGCTCTGGAGCAGATGCTCCCCTCCCCTCGTGCCCACCCACCCACATCCCTGACCTAATTCCTCTTCTTAGTCCGCACCTCCCCAGTGCCCCTCCTCCCTCCCCCCACCTCCCCTCCCCTGCAGTCTAACCACCCCGGTAGAGAAAGCTACCTCATTCTGCCCCAGGCTTAGGACCTTCTGCCTAGCAACCCAGCTCTGGCCCCCAGGATTTCCTGAGTAGCAGGCATCATCCTCCTGCTGGGGTTTCTGCCCCCTACCCAGCTCTTGGGCATCCTGGCCAGTCCAATGTTTATCGGGGACAAGGGGTAAGAGCCTGGGGTGCTCTTGTCGACCCCCTCATGGGCAGGGCAGTACCAGCCCAGACTCCCCAGTGTTGGAACAAGAGGCTCACTACCTACAGCCTCAGAGTGGCAGCTGTGACTACTGCAGGGGCCAAGGGCATCCGGAGGCCAGAGGCAGGAAGGGGCACCCGGATGGACACGGAAGGGCCACAGGGTGACAGTGGCTGAAGAGGCGGGGCGAGGGAGGAGCCACCCAAAGTCCAAAAGCAGGTGGGGCGGTGGGGAGGCCAGGAATTCAGGCCCCCACACACCCGGCAACTGGGAGGCAATGGAGGACCTCCTCACCCTCTCCTCACCCCCTCACACAGGCCAGGTGGACTGCGAAGCTGGAGAGTCAGCCCGGGGCACAAAGTGAGTGGGGCTAGTACCTGGGCCAAGCCGAGGCGTTTTCTTCCCAGGGACCTGGCCGAGGCTGCTTCATCTCCTACACAGTGCCCAGCGCGGAGCCCAGCACATCTGTGCTCCAGGCTGGTTGGAACGGAGGCCCAGCCTAGATCTGCCTGGGCACCTTGGTGGACAATGGAAGGCGGAGGGCCAGGGCAAGCCAGAGCCTAGGGGGCCCTAGGGCCAGAAGCCCCATGCAGAGGGAGGCAGCACCGGCGGCAGATGTCTCCGTGATTCTCAGAGGGACACGGCAGGCCCTGAGGGAAGCCCAGTCCATACCCAGTGTTCCCGTCTCAGGATCACATGTGTGCTTGGCCAGAAATGCTCCAGAACTTGGAATTCTCCTTGGCCCTTCCCCTCTGGCCTCAGAATGTCTTAGAACCCATATAACTGCAGCAGCCATTTGGCAAATGTGTGTTCTAAAGACCCTGGCGTTTTCGAGGCTCTGTGATGGGCCCCAAGGAGCTACAGTGCACGAAGATGAACACACAAGGCCATCTCTGCCCTTGAGGAGCTTAAATAGTCACTCAGGGCATTTGTTCTTGTACCAGCAAACAGTCTCTGGGGCCTCTGACGTGTCAGGCCCCGCACGGGCCCCCATGAGGTGAGTACTGGAGGCGGCATGTTCACCAATGAGTTCAAGGTGCTTCTAGTTCCACCCTGGGAAAGTGAGGGGAGCTTCCCAGAGGAGGTGACGCTCAAGCTCACAGGTCAGAGAATAAGTGGGCCTTTACCACTGAGCCACACGTGTATGACCATATTTCACTTTGACTAAACCACCATTTGTTTCAGCCTGGGATACAAAAGTGAATAGGATGCAAGTCTGTTCTCTTTATGAAGTCACAATGAATGGGGGAGAAAATCTGATGTGCTCAAGGCAAAAACAGCGTGTAAGAATAGATACGGTGCAGTCCGGATGAGCAATCAACTCCAAGGGGGGCAGGGGGTGTACTCACCCAGGGCTTCCTGGGACAGGTGGTGTGCGAGTTGGAATCACAGGGCACATAGGAGTAGGACAGAGCGCTGGGTAGAAGCAGATCAGGTCAGGGGAACAGCATGGAGCTATGAGACAGTCTGGGCTGACGAGGTGGCGAATACAAAGCAAGTGAGGTCTAGGGGAGGCCAGCTGGGAGGGGAGGGAAGGGCGATGGGCACACCAGCACAACCCATGGTGTGCCCGGGTCCGGTGAGCAGGCCAGAGATCGGAAGCCTTGGGAGCTTGGGGAGGGGTTGGCAAGTCAGGGAAGGCTTCTTGGAGAAAGCAGGTCTGTAAGCAAGGCTATGGGGGCTGTTCAGAGGGCGGGAGATTCATACAGCTGGAGCAAAGGCCTGGGGGCCGACGTGGATGAACGAGTGAACGAGGGCGCTCAGGAGTCAGAAAAGGCAGGAGCTGTGGGGCAGTCAGGCTAGTGAGGTTGTCGGGGGCCGGGGGGAGGTGAAGATCTTGTGCCTGAGAAAAGTGTCACCATTTCTGCCCAGGGGCCCAAGGGACCCTGCAGCCCATTCTAAAGCCCATTCTAGGAATGAAGGCAGGTGAAGCTCCAGCTCCCTCAACACCCCATAGCTTCAGGCCTCCCCCAGTGCCCCTTCCTCTGAGCTCATGTCTCGTTTGCCCATTCATCGCACACTCCTCTGTTGTACACCCCCAGTTCAGGGGTGGGGGTCCTGCCATTCCACGTCTGCCACAGCAACTTCTGGGCCAGCTTGCCTCATGAGACAGGGCCCCCATGCACAGGCAGCACGACGGCGACAAGTTGCTTCGCCTCTCCAAGTCTCCGTTTTTCCATCTGTGAAATGGGTCTAAGCCCTACCTGCAGGCTCGTCAGGAGGAGTCAAGGAGACCGTCTCTATAAAATGCCCAGCGCAAGGCCAGGCGCATGACCGATATTCGATCTGGGTCCGTCTCCTTCTCCTTGCCTCGTCTCATCCTGCACTGTGGTCAAGCACACCGACTCTGGAGCCACACTGCCCAGTTCAAAGACGAGTTCTGCCATTTGTTAGCGTGAGCTGTGTAACCTTGGGCAGATCGCCTGTCCTCTCAGTGCCCATCTTCCCATTTGGAAAGGGGTGTTATAATACTAGTACCTGCCTCAGGAGGTTGTTGTGAAGATTCAGTGGCTGTATGTTAGGGGCTTAGAGCAGCACCTGCTGGGTTGTCACGTCCTACGTGCTAGCCGTTCCGAGACTCTGCGTCCTGAGTATCTCAAAATGTGCCTGGCACCTGGGAGATGCTCAACGGAGATTTTTTGAGTGAATAAATGAAGAGATGAGGCAACACCATGATGCAAGGGAAGGCCTAGATAGGAAGTCACCGAACATCAATAAGTGAGGAGCTAAACCACCCCAGCCGATTAAGTGCCTTCCCCAAATAAAACCCAGATAATCCCCACACCAAGAGTTAATCCATACTCCTCAGGTCACTCAGGGTTACCACCGTATGTCCCCTCTTCCCACCCACCTCTTTGCTTAATCAAAAGTGGGAAGGAAGCACAGGCACGGGGTGGCTGAGGGGGGCAGCCCTGGGACACTGTGGTGAGACCAGCACCCAGGGGCCGGAGGGGGCAAAGCCAGCACAGACTGCCCCAGGGAGTAGAGCAGGAAGAGCCTGGGTCTCAGAACAGGGGAGACTCCGTGGATGGGGCAGACAGGACCACTGACCACACACAACAGGAAGGAGCAGCAGACGGGGCCATGGGAGGCCAGGCCAGAATTCTGCATCGTCTCTCCAGCCAGCCAGCCTGCCAGCCAGCGGCGCCCCCTCTCGGGCAGGGCTCTGGCCAGCCTCCCAGCCCCGCCCTCCTTGACCTGGAAGCTAGGGGCAGCCCAGAGCCTGGCAGCTGCTGCCCTCTCGCGGCCACTCTGAAGAGGTACAATGCTCCCACAGCCAACCTGGGTGTTTACAGGAACTCGACCCCTAGAGCTGGTCTAGGGTCCCCCCTAGAGACCCCCACGGGCCCATGGAGGAAGCTGGCCTCCCCAGGCCTAATCTGTTTATAGCTCCAGCTAATCCCCATGAGATTACTATGCTGCCCGAGTTCCCTCCACACCTCTGCTCCCACTGGCTTCTACTTCCCATCAAGGTCCAACCCCATCTCCCCCTGTCTATAGCCTTAGACTCTGACCCCTCTCAGGGGTGTCCCTCCCCCCTCCCCCCAGTCTCCCATCTGTGTTCTCAGAGGTCTCCAAGAGCTTCCTGTGACAGTACTCGCCACATCACAACTATGTGTCAATGGCTACCTCCCCTAGAAGACTGGGTCCTTCTGGCAGTCTGTCCTTTTAGCCCCCCTCCTAGGTCCGGACTGGCCTGCGGCAGGCTGTTTATAATAATGTGTGCTATGAGCACCAGGAATACAAACCAGAACAGAACACTTTCATGTGTTTATTTACCAAAACGTGCACAAACCTGACCTCATTCACCAACACAAAACATACAACCAGGACACACACCTATACACACACACAAGGCCTTGGAGGAGGCTGTCAAGTACTCTGAAGGACAGGAAGGAATGAACACAGCTGGGTGGACTTTTGGTTTCACTTGCAGAGGTTTGGGAAGGATTCTGGTCCCACACACCCGGGGGGGTAGAAGGATGAGAAAGACAATAAATAGAACCCTGGACCCAGCCTGCTTTGGTACATTACAGGTATAGCCCTGTGCATGGCCCTGGCAGCACCTGGCCCTTAACGACACCAGGAGCCAGGAGGACAGAGCCTGAGCAGCTGGTGTAGGCAGGTCAGACGTGCAGCCAGAGGTCCCCTCCAAAGAGCCCCCTGCGCCCCATAAGGCAAGAGGTAAGATTAGACCAGGCTCTGCAGACCCTAGCTGTTCATGTCTGAAGAAATGGTCTTTTTCCTTGTCCGAACCTTCAGGGAGCGCGAGGTCGTGCCCTGGGGGGAGAGAGCAGGTACAACCTGAGGAGGTCTAGGCCCGACTGCCTGGACAGCCCACCTCCCTCGTGCCTTCCTTGCCACTGACCTCCCGCACCGGCGGCTTCCTCTTGACCACACGCAGGCTCTGGCTGCGGCCGAGAGGCTTCTCTCGGGGCCGGCTGGGTGGCTGGGGAACTGCCTCTGTGTCTGACCAACACTCATCGTCGGTGTCGCTGTCCTGCAGGCCCCCTGCCCGGTACCCTGTATAGAGGAGGGGGAGGCCGGGGAGGCAAAGCTGGGCATTTCCATAGTCTGAAGGCCTCGAGCCAAGCCAGGCCTTCTTCTAACCGCTGGGGAAGCCACAGCTTGCATGGAAGCAACATTCCCCTTGGAACAAACAGCTCCAGATCTCTCTCCCACTCACCGATGGGCGGCCTGGGGCGAGGTACTTGGTCCTCCAGGTAGAGGGGATCCCGGTAGGCGGGGGCAGGGGCATCAGGGATGGAGCGCAGGTCCTGCATGGAGAAGCTTCGCAGCCTTCCGGCCAGCGCACCCTGACTCTGCAAGGGCCGGGGAGCCACCGCGTCACCTGGAGGGATGGGGCAGGGGATCCTAGCAGGAAGGGGGCTGAGCCAGAGCAGCTGCTCAGGGAAATGAAGGGGCCCAGGCCTCAGGACTGAAAGTAGCTCAGTAACCTAGCCCCATGCCTTTGTGGCACCAACAGGAAGTGAAGGCCCAGAGAGCAGGACCGACTCCTCATGATCACTGTCCCAGTCAGGGAAGTCTTGAACTTCCAGCTCCATCCTCCTGCCAACACCCCACCTGTCACCCCTCACCCTGTTCCCCGGCATGCTCAGGTGCTCTCTCTCAGCTCCCTGACAGAGAGCTGGATGCCCCCAAAAGGCACTGGGAGTGGGAGGGCTGCTGGAGGGCTGGGACCCAGGGCACCTTGGTGGCAGCCTGCACAGCGGCTGAAGCAGCAATGTTGAGGCCCCGTTTCCCAAAGCTGAGCACTGTCTCATAGCTGCGCTCCTTGGCCTGCATGATGCAGGTGTCAATCTCCTGCGGAGGACGGGAAAGTGGAGGGGAGTTTAAGCTGGACAGTTGAGTCACTCCTATGCTGTAGACCATGCCTCCCTGCCCACCCCCACCTACAGGGCACTGGCAACCACGCCGAGCAGGGCTCCCCACCCACCCATTCCCACACCTCCGTGAGTGACCACGTGCAGCCTCCTCCCACCATCCCCGAAACAACTTCCAGCTGGTGTTTCACACTCTCAAATGGTCATTCACATGTGCTCCCATCCGATCATCACGAGAGAGGAAGAAGGCTAGTTTCTGTCAAGGTCCCACAGCAATACGGCAGCAGGACTCAGATGATCACCCAGAATCCTGAGCCCGAGTCCAGGGCCCTTTCCTTCACACCCACCCCTATGTTTCCCTCCTTGACTCCCCCCAGAGTACCTTCTCATGACGGGACAAGGATGGGTGGACAAACTTGCGGTAAAGCAGGCTGGCCCCTTTGGTGTAAGGTGATAGCAACCACAGCACAAAGGCCATTTTGATCTCGTAGTAGAAAGGGAACCTGTCAGACCGCAGGGCGGCAAGGTCAGCCAGGCTGAGAGTGGGCCGTCACCTGCCCACCGCCCGCAGACCCCCTGCATGCATACCAGGAAATAAAGATGTCTGTGAAGGTCTCCACGGCCATGAACAGTGCAAAGACTATCCAGTACATCATCCACCGGACCTGGGGGGCAGGGGGGTCAGACGCCAACAGCTGAGCCTGCAGAGCCAACTCCCCTGTCCCAGGCTGACCCGGCGATTCCAGAGAGCCTGTCCTGCTGCATTCTCCCGGCACCTGGCTGGCCCTAGAGAGTTGCCTGAGAAACTGCCACTCATCTCTGTACCCACCCCCAAGAAGCTTCACCCACACGATTCTGCACAGGCACCCCAATAGCCTGCCTTCCAACCGCACCCACTCTGCTTAGGATATGCCACCTGCTTATGCCCCGGAGGAAGGGGAGGGCAGTTCAGACCCTCCCCACCTTGCCAAGTCCTACCATACTCCCAAGGTTGTCGTCCCACCCAATCTAAACCAAGCCCTCCTGCCCACAGTCACACTCACATATTCACGAATGTTCTTGGTCTTCACAGCCTTGTAGGAAGCATAAGCTGGGTACAGCATCCCAAACACCAACCTAGAAGAGCCCATAAAACAGAGGGGGAGTATGAGGGGCATCATGTCCTCCTGCCCCCCACCAGGTGGCCACCTCCCTCCCAGGGGTGAAGTGGCAAGGGCCTATCCTGTTCTTCCCGCTTGGCTTGCACAACCTGTGCCTGAGTCAGTGCCCCGGAGGCCACCTCCCCACCCTGCTGTTTACAAACACCCCAAGCCTGCCCAGGCCTGCACCAGTGGCCTATGGGTGCATGATTGAGGAGCACACACAGCCACACACAGGCGGGTGGGAGGCAGGCTTCGGAGCTGGTGAGAGCACCAGGCGGTCCCCTCCCATGGACATGCAATCAGGCCAGGGCCACCAGACCTGGCATTGCCAGGTTGCAGACAGGAATATTGGAGCCAGCTGCTGGAATAACAGAAGGTGAGAGGACAGAGTGGGGAGGCTGAGGCCAGAGTGGTGAGTCATGTGACTGCTCAGATGGGAAGTAGGCTCCTGGAATCTCCGCCCACAACGTGCCACACCACCTTGTGTTTGCTAAGGGGCTGCAGGCTGGCGTGAGGGCCTCTGTCCTACGCGCCTGTCTGCAGTGTGTGTGACTGCGGGAGGGGTCGCCATGGGGCCAAGGAGGCTTTGGGGGTGGAGAACAAGCAAGGGTGCCCGATGGCACGTGCAGGCCCGCAGGTCCGTTAACCCTTGTGGTGAGTGTTGAGGGAGCTGTGACCCGAAGCACAGAAAGCCCCCTTTCCCACCAGACGTTCCTATCTTCCACCTCAGGTGCGGTCTGGTTCCTGGGGGTAGAGGGTGTATGAAAGCAGCCATACTCACACCACCAGGCGACAGATCATCCAGGACACCATCCTGCAGCCTCGGGACGAAGGGGGAACCCCCACAAAAAGACCAGGGGACGCTCACGCGGGGCTGGGACGGGGTAATCAGTGGAAGTGCGGGAACTACAGGGGCGCTCAGGCAGCCCCTTGGCAGAGGCGGAGCCCGCCGCCCCCTAACTCCGCAGTGCGCAGAGCCTGAAGAGTGAGGAGACCCGTGGGCTGAGGCGAGGAGGCCGGGGCTCGGAGGAACCGACTTGGGAGCCGGTAAAGGCGGGCGCGTTCTTCCGCCCCGCCGCGCTCCTGGGGCAGTTACGGCTCAGCCCCGCACTTCCTGCTGCGGGGAAACAGGTGTTCGGCTCTCGCCGTGGCGCTGCTGCGGGTCCCGGGCCGCGGGTGGCGGTCACGGCCTTCGCTCGTTAGGGTCCCCGCGGTCTCAGGGTGCCCAGCCACCGGTACCGGCCTCGGGGCGGAGTTTGCAACTCACTTGAAAGTTGCACGGAACTAGGCTCTGCCCAACCCCTGGTCGCCGGCGCTTGGCGCAAGCGCAGTACGGCCGCGGAGGGGGCGGGGCGAGGTCAGGGAAGCCAGGGGCCTGCCCCTTAAAGGGGCGATGCGCCTCCTACCGGTGGATGGGGCCCATTAGGTTGAGTAGCCGCCCTAATTGGAAACATTAGGGGGTGGGGAACGTCAACAAAAAAGGTGGGGAGGAGGAAACCAAGGATACTCGGAGTCCAGAGTTTTCGCGGCTCTAACCTGGCTTCCCCCTTTACCTCGTCTTTCCCTTAGGTAAAATGAGAAAAGGTATGGGATGGGTGCAGGACCCCGCTTCCAGGCTCATGCACAAGTGGAAGAAGGCTTGGCTGAGCGACAACAGATCCAGGTCTTGCAGCACGGGGTCAGGAGATGCGTAAGCGCCTCAAAGACGCTGAGTTGACGTAGAGTGAGACCTGGAGGAAGTAGGAGAGGGAACCTGAGAGACTCAACACTCCCATGAGACTCACCCTGAAGATGGGTTTCAGGAGTTGACTTCTCTCTGGGATACCTCTCTAGAGCCCGCATACCTGGTGATTTGAGAGATTCTGGGCAGAACCCCCAGCCACCCCCCCTTTCTTCTTCACCGGAAGTGTGAAGTTCCACCTTTTCCTGTGAGTCAAGAGCACAAACATCCCTGAGAGCTGAATCCTATCCACAAGTGCCACTTTGTAGCTAATTTTTGTATGCAAGGCCTTGACCTTTACAAAGATCCTCCCTCCCCCCCGCCTTTTTTTTAACCATTTAGGAAATATATTCCCTGGGCCGCATTGGTTGCTGGCTGATGGGTGGGTGATGGGTGAATGCTTGGCTTGATCAGTCTTCTGAGCAAGGCCCAGGAAGGGGAGAGGGAACAGAGAAGCTCCTCTAGGGGCAGATGTATAGGGGGAAGAAGGTGGGAGGCTCGAAGGAGAAGGCAAGATTTGTGGCTTCTAGAACTTTGCATGTAGGACTGCATTCTTTGTATCTCTTCTGCATAGTGCCTCATTCCTCCCTCTGACAATGGGGACCATGCCTCTGCACCCTGCGCAGGCTCCCTTCTGCTTCACAGGGCTGAGGTGAAGAAGACAGCAGAGTTACCCAGAGCCATGGGGATGGGAAACTTGGACAGTTACTACTTTTTATTAGAGCCATAGTTAACAGCCATCACCTACTGAAAGGATGGAATAGGTAATGATGGGGGCCAGGGAAAGGAGGCTTCCTGGGAATAAATAAACACGAGGTAATTATGTAGTCTTAATTACTATCATCCATTTTATTGGTGGTGTTGGGTGTGAGAGCTAGCAGTGAAACTGACCCACAGGAGAAACTCCCCTGAGGCCTCCCTCTGCCCATCTAACCACCCCCTCACACTGGGCCTCACTCCTACCGTATGTTTGCATAACGAGAGACTCCAAGGGCTAGAGTCCCACCACCCATCTCTAGGCACAACACTGTGATAGAGGTGAAAGTCGAGCTTAACTGAGGAGACACATCCTTGTCTCCTGGGAGCAGAAGGATGTGATTGACTCATGGGGGCCGGCTCAGGAGGAGCAGGGGGCTGCGGAAGAGGGAAGGAACACCCATTCCTCAGGCGGTAAGAGTGCCTGGGCTCACTATGTGCATGTGCACCTTGGGTCCTTTGGTACCTGATGCAGAAGCACCTCCTCCCTGGCTGCCTTCCAGAGTCACCTGACCTGACATCAGCATCTACCCCCACTTGCTGGCGAAGAGCTCTCCTGTGCCCACTTTAAGACCATCCCCATGGGGAAGGTCTCTCACATGGAGACTTCTGGTCCTGATGACTGCACTTAGGGACTCTAAGGGACATCAGAGGTCTGCTCCTGAGAGCAGGACTCAGCGTGGAGGGGCATGTGGCTGGGAGCTGAGGCGTGCAGAGTGGGAGGACTCTGTCTCTCATGGCCTTTGGTCATGAGATGTTGACACAGTCACCCAGCTACACTGGGTTGCTAAGCAACTCTCTGGACACACAGATGACCCCCAGAGCAGGTGACCAGGCAGGCGTACAGCAGGCTTCATTCCCCATGTGCAGAAAGCTGGGCATTCAAGGGGAGAAGTGTCTCCCAGCGCTGGGAGTCCCAGGGAGAGTGACGGAATGTTTATCTTTCCATCAGGCAACAGCGTACCAACGTGTCTGGGACACTCAACCCACTTCCCCCAGCAACTTCTCCCTGGCACAGCCTGAGGGCCCATTTCCCATTTGAAAAAGCGGGACAGTGTGGCTGGGGGGCCTGAGGGGCATCTACTAAGCCAAGAGCACACAGATGTGGTTGGAAGAGGTGCACCTCCAGACACGGCGCCCGTGAGATTCCGCATTGTGGGGGGGGGGGTGCTCAGGAGCAGGCTTGGGGGGGCAGCTGCCGCTACAGGAGAGACAGAGGGCCCAGGGGCTCTGAGCCTGACTGGGGAGAAGCCCTAGTCCACAGACAGCAGTTCTCCCCAAAGACCAACCTCCTCCTTTCCCACCAAGCACCCTTCTCTGAGCCACCTCAGCACCTCACAGAGTCCTAAAGCCCGATACGGGTCACAACACTGCGTCGGATGCACTGTTCCCACGGCTTTCCATATGTGAATGTATCATATAGTTCACGCATTTAAATCTCACACTGACTCTGTCAGCTAGGTATCTTGATTATCCACATTTTACAGATGAGAAAAATGGAGATACAAATGGGCTAAGTATCACGGTTGAGGACGCCCCTGCCGCAAAGTGGCAGGGTCAAGAATTCACAGAGTAGGTTTTAGTGTCAACTTTACAGAAGGAGAAAGCGAGAGCCAGGGAAATCAGTGGACTTGCTCGAAATCTCACACCTAGGGCAAGGGCTAGCTGCAATGGAACGGAGGGGAGAGGAGTGGAGGGACTGCTGAGCTTGCCTTTGGCCATGTTGGCGGGAGTTGACTGGACGGAGGGACAGACCCCAGTCTCAGTGGGCCCCAAAACTGTGATCTCCAGGAAGGAACAACTGGGCTATGAGTCAGCCCCAGGTGGTAGAGACTAGTCACACTTGCTCCGCACCTGAGAGTCATCATTGTGAACTCCTGACCCCAGCACCAGCTGACCGTGGGGTACCCACTTGCTCTTCCAAAAGACAGCAAGGAAGAAGGGGGTCTGAAGGCTAATGCTGGCTGCCTGGGAACAGCAGGGACAGAGAGCACAGCCTTGGCTCTGTTCTGAATGAAACGGCGGCCTGTGACTGCAGGACACCTGAGAGCAAGCAATGGGGTGGGAAATTTTTATTTGCAGCAGTGAGTCATAACATTGCCCCCAAGTGCCCCTGGGCATCCTGCCACCAGTAGGCCCTCCACAGTCTGGGCACAGGGAAGTTTGCCCACCTCTCCCCACGCCTTCGCCGGCCTTGCAGGGCCGAGCTGTGTATTGCCAGCACACAGCAGAGGGCAGCAGGAGCTTGGCTCCCACGTGCTGCTTTCTACCGGACCCTCACCCCCTCCACCACTCAGCTTGCACTAGGAGGCAATGCTCCTGGGCCCTGCCTCTGTGGATTGGAGAGGTCTTGGGATCCCCAAGATGCTCTCTAGCCCTCCTCCACTCTTGGCACCTGCCCAGTTGGCTCGGGTGCTTGCCGGGGCCCTGGCTCGGCCAGCTCTTGGACCCACCTCACAGAGCCTACACAGCTCAAGGTCCACATCCCAAAGGTGGGGCTGAACCAGGGGGTGGTCGGAAGCTGGGGTGGCCACAGTAAAGAAAAGCTGAAAGGCTTTTATCTGGGTGGTCTCCCATCCACAGGTGAGCTGGATTCAAAGTCAGAGCAGGAAACTCCAGTGAGAACAGAGAGGGCCCTAAGAAGAACTCAGGGTCTGCTTTGTTATTGCTTTGGGCAGAGGGGCTTTGCCCCCAGGAGATCAAGCTTGTGCCCAGAGGCTGGCACTACCATTCCCATCCTTATGAGCTACAGGGTGGGCACACCAGAGATGAACCGAGGAGGGCAGGTACCATGTGCCTTCTCTAAGAAGAGAGTCAAGGTGATGAAGGAGAGCCTCTTTAGGCCGCACTGAATCTGCATGTGTGCACACAGAAATGGGAGAGTCAACAGGTGTGTGTGTGTAACTGAGGGTGTCCATCAGCATCCATGTATGCATGCAGAAGGAACATAGCGCGGGCGAGCGAGCCCAGCGGCGTGAAGGATGTGGCCGTGGGCTGCAGTGCCAAACATGAGCAGGAAAACAGACACCCAGAGCACCAACAGGAGAGACCAAAGAGTAGGAAGTAGGAAGGCTAAGCTGAAAAACGGGAGGGGGTGGTTCTGCCCCCCCCCCATACTCCTCCCCTGAGGCCAGAGTCTGCTGGGGAAAGCAGCAGATCAAGGACGGCGGGGGGGGGGGGGTCTTCGGGTAGAATGTGGGGCTGACAGATGTCCACGTATGAGAGGGCACAGGGCAGCTGGGTTGCCTGGCACATCTACAAGTCTCCATGCTGATGACAACTATGGTATAAGTGTCTCCCCTGGGCCTGCCCACAGTGTGTGCCCATGCTCATGGAG